CAGCCAAAATGCAGAGATAAAGAAACATGTCACAAATGAAAGAAATGAAAGCAAGCAAACTGTGTACAGATTTCAAAACAACGGTTACAAGGTTGCTTAATGAGAACTTCAAGGGATCTAATGAGTCTCAAGGCACTTAGTGAGACTGTCAAGGTTCTTAATGAGAATGTCAGACATGAAAAAGGGCCAGTCAGAAATTAAGAATACCTTAACCGAATTAAAGAATAATTTACAGGGATTCAACAACAGAGTTGAGGATTCCGAGAATCAAATCAACAGTTTGGAGTATGATAAAGCAAACAGTACCCAATCAGAGCAGTTGAAGGGTATTCTTTAATAAGAAGAAGGAGGAAGAGGAGGAGAAGAAGAAAAAAAATATGAACAATGCAATAAATATATATCTATCAATTCAATCTAAAAATAAAAATAAATGATCAATAAATCTAATGAACAAAATAAACTGATGAATAAAATAGAACCAGAATTTTACACCTATGGATGAAGACAGTGGCAGGGGGTAAGGTTGTGGGGTGGGGTGAGGAATCAGGTGGAGGGGAGCTATGGGGGGCAAAAAAAGAGGAATTCCTGTAATAATCTGAACAATAAATATTAAAAAAAATATTTTTTATATTATATATTAAAAAAATAAAATAATAAAGTGAAATAAAATAAAATAAAATAGAACCAGAGACATGGATACATGGAACAGATTGACGACTCTTGGAGGGAAGGGGGAGGGCAGTGGTGGAAGGGATTAAACGAAGATCTTATATGCATATATGCATTACCTATGAACACAGACAACAGGGTGGTAAAGACCTGGGGCAGGGCCCGGACTGGGTAGTGGAGGGTTATGGGGGCATAAAGGGGGAACATCTGTAATATTCTCAACAATAAAGATTTAAAAAAAAAATTCATTGGGTGTTAACAAAAAACAAACAAAAACAACCAAAAATAAAAATAATATCTACAAATAACATCATACTTAATGGTGAGGCACTCAGAGCTTTCCAACACAAGCAGGTACAAGGCCAGAATATCCTCCTCTCTCACCACTCCTTCTCCATATCAGAGTGGAAATTCTAGCTATATGCCATAAGACAAGAAGAGGAATAGATTGGGAAGGAAGAAATTAAACAATCTTTATTCACACATTCCAAAAGAATTGAAAAAAATACCTTTTGGAACTAATAAGTGTTTTACATCAAGGTTGGAGAATACAAGGTGAATATCCAAAAATCAATATGCAACTGAGATATGCAGATGGAAAATAAGCATATGAAAGGATGTATCACATCATATGTCATCATGGAAAGGCAAATTAAAACAATACGATACTGCCCTGGATGGGTGGCTCAGTTGGTTGGAGCATGGGTTCCATATACTAAAAAAGGTGGCAGGTTCGATTCCTGGTCAGGGAACATACTTAGATCTTGGATTTGATCTCCTGTCTTGGCTCATCTAGGAGGCAACTGATTAATGTTTCTCTCTCTCTCTCTCTCTCTCTCTCTCTTTTCAAAGTCAATTTAAAAAGTCCTTGAGTGAGGATTAAAATAAATAAATAAAAAGACCTACTAACTAACGTGCATAGCATGGACTGAGTGTTTAAATTAGCCCAAGGCCTTAAGAAACGCCATTGAAAATACTGGGCAATTTACCACCAGTTCATTTAAAAGAACAAGATACCACTGGACATCTATTTGAATGACCAAAATGTAGAACACTGACAACACCAAATGCTAGAGAAGATGTGGAACAATAGGAAGTCATATTCATTGCTGGTGGGAGTGCAAAATGGTACAGCCAATTTGGCAGTTTATTACAAAACTAAACATACTCTTTATCATATGATCCAGCAGTCATGCTCTTTGGTATTTATCCAAAATAAGTGAAAACATGTTCACACAAAAAATGTACACAAATGCTTATAGCAGCTTCATTCATAATTGCAATTATTTGAAAGTAATCAAGATGCCCTTCAGCAGGTGAATAAATACTAGGTTAATAATGGAGGATTCTGTAATCAAAGAAAACACGATAATTTCAAGAGAAACATCAAAAGTGCCTTATTCAAAGTAATGTCTATTGCTAGCTACACATGTCCCCCATCTTTCAGGTAATTTATGGATACCGTCCCAGTAGAATGTTTCTTGTTCTGAGGCAAACCATTCAGAAACCCAATCTTCTAATACTTCATATGATTTGAAGTGTGTGTGCCATCGATCAGAACAAGTGGTAATCTGAAGGAGCAAAGTCTGGTGAATACGGTGGGTGGGTTAATACTTCCCAGGCAAGATCTTTTAACGTGTCTTTAACTGGTTTTGAAGTGTGTGATGGTGCGTCATCATGAGGCAAAATTACTATGCCTTGTCTGGTCATTTCATGATCAAAGCATGGTTTAAATTGATTGTTTGTTACCAGTAGCGATCAGTATTAACAGTTTCACCTCGTTTTAGAAGCTAATAATACACTTCTGGGATCACTTTCCTTCTGAGAAAATGTGCATTTGCTTCTCCCAGAAGGTGTCCCTGAGCGGGAACATTTGAGTTTCTGCGGAGGACCCCACTCTTAATGTGAGTCTCAGGTTTAATTCTTTAGTTTTAGCAGCAGGCAACAGACTTACTTATTCTCAAGATCCCAACTTATATGGATATTTGTCCCCAAAGTAACCTGGCTTTGTGTTTACTGACTGTGGTATTTAATTTAATTCTATCAAACTGTTCCTCTTATTTCTATGTTTTCCAAGGAAACAGGAGTATTTGGATATTTCCCTTATTTTCTTCAATGCCCTGTGATTTCTTAAAAAAAATGTTATGGGATATTTGAGTTCCAATTATACAGAGTGGAAGTAATTACTCACAATACCTGCCTGCCTTCTCTTTTGTCCCTGCTGTTGGAACTGAGAGGGTATAAATTAACAAGTCTCCTCAGAGCTGAATACCTTTTCAAGGTCTAGACTTGGTTGGGGAGGGTAAGGAGGAGAGGTAAGGAAGGACAAATACCATAAAGCCTGATTTGGCCAAAGGTCAAGCCTCAGTCTTGCAATAAACTGGTATTTTAATTTTCATCTATTTGAATCCTGTCTTGTTTCTCAGCTGATTCCAAAATTAGAAAGTAATCTACTAATATGAAATGGTCAGAATATATGATTTCATAAAAACAAAGTAGATTAGTGGTTGTCTGGGGATGGGGGAGTGAAAATGGGAATAAATATAAATGAAATGGTTTCTTTTTGAGATGATGAAAATGTTCTGAAATTAGGTTGTGGTGAAGTTGCACAACTGTGAATACAGTAAAAACCACTAAATTCTATATTTTAAATGGCAAATTTATGGTGTATGAATTAGATCTCAATAAAGCTGTTATAACATTGAGAAAGACAGAAATATTGTTTATTTTTATTTATTATTGTTGTTATTATTGTTAATCCTTACCCGAGGATATTTTCCCATTGATTTTTAGAGGAAGGGGAGATACAGAGAGAGGGAAACATCCGATGTGAACATCAATTGATTGGTTGCCTCCTGCAAGCGCCTAGACCAGGGACAGGGATGGAGCCTGCAACCGAGGCACGTGGTACAAATTGAACTGGGGACCCTTCACTCTACGAGCCAATGCTCCATACACTGAACCAAACTGCCTAGGGCGACCGGGATATCATTTATTGATATAAAACACTTCTTCAAAAATGAATACAAAACATGAGCTTAACAGTTCAATGAACTGTCTGTCACAAAGCAAACATACATTTAACGATCATCCAGGCAATAAATAAAACACTGCCAGCACAGCAGACACCTTTCTCTTATTTTCTCCTAATCACGAATCCCTCCCTCCAATCTTGGGACTTCTAACCACAGCATATCTTCCTTTCCTTAATGATCTAGGAACAATAAATCCTGGATACAAGTCCTTTGTTGATTATAAGTGATAAATATATTCTCTTATTCCATGGCTTTTGTCTGCTTTTAATGGTATCTTTTGATGAACATATATTCTTAATTTTAAAATAGATAAATTAATTCATCTTTTTATGGTTAGGACTTTTTGAGTCCTTTCTCTAATAACAGGGAATTATTAACTGATCCCCTCAAACTCTGTTATTGAATATACATTCTTTAATCAGATCCACATACATGATGGGTGGGGTAAAAGTAGGTTTTTAGTTGTTCATATGGAAAGCAATACAATAATTAATAAATAATAATAATATAAGAATAAACTGTATCATTTATTCACAACTCTAAACCTACTTTTGTCTCTCTGGGTATCTTTCTTTTCCTTTCACTTATTTTTCCTGATAAATTTTAAAAAAGAAAGCTGAAGCATAAATATGTATTTTTGTCCAGAATACTAATTGAATAAAATTAATTCATAACAAAGAAAATCAAGATATTTACATAAAGTTATTTTCATAAAGATATTTATATTTCCTGTTTTTTCAGGATAATCAAATCATTGTTATTATCAAGAAAACTTTACTTTATAAACTTCCACTTACCTAGAATACAATAAAAAAGCTAGCATAGCTAGTATTTAAAAATAATATTGTACACCAATAACTAAAGTTCAGTTAATGTGTGTAAGAAATTGTAAATCTCTCAAAGATTCTATTACTTTCAGCACATATCCTCATAATTTGGCCCTAGAACCAGCTGTACTACTTAAATGTAGCTTTCCTGTCAAACTATCCAAAAAGCTCTTGTTTGGTATGGAAGAACACTGTTGTTTACTATTTCATATAAATTTAATTTATGAAATCAATTTGTATATGATTATTTATATTAAACTTCAGATTATGCAGGACTAATTACTAGCCAGTACTTTCCATCATACCTGTAAACAAATGCTTGTGAGAAAACTGAGTGGCAAAAATCAAACCTGGAAAAAGAGTATGCTCTAAGACTACAACAATTTCCAACAATTTCATTAAAATTCACAATGTATTATTTCTTCTCAGCATTAAAGATAACCTCAACAAAGGACTTGTAAATACTTACTCTCTTTGCTTTCAGGCTCATTTTGTTCAAGAACACAAGTTTCTGCTGGATTCAGTTGCCACTGCAAAAGGGCACAATCATTTTATTTATATGTTTAAGAAGGATTTAATAAATAGTATTTCTGCACCCTGCTCTCAAATATCAAAACAATTTCAAAAACATAAGAAAAAAGAGTTAGCATATCTATACCAACCAAGCCCTAATGTCACTGAAGGACCTGAGTCCCTGAAGGATATGACTTTTGGGATCAAAATCAATATCCTTAAAGAAGAAATGAACTTTAAAGCTTTTACTTTCATTTTATAGGTAACACCAGAAAAGTATAGTGACTTGCTCATGGTTACACACTAACTAAAGGCAGCAATAGAATTAGAATCTGGGTCTGCCAATACTATAGAATTTCCACCACCTCATACTCTATCTTCAGGTCCTTCTGATCTTATAAGAGAAGGCCCTGATATTAAAGAATGAAAATATGGTCAAGATTATTTTGCCTTTTAATATAGTTATATATATATATATATCAAAGCCCAGCGACAAAAACGGCAGAAAAACCAGAACAACCGGTGGCTCTGCACTGCGGCAGCCAACCAGCCTGATCTGGGCCCTGATCAGCCCCGGATACCCCGATCGGGGGCAGGTAGGCCATCCAACTGCCCTCAGCGCCTGTCCCCCACCAGCCCAGCCCAATGGGCCCCCATCAGGGTGGGCTGGCTGGACCCCACCCGTGCACAAATTCATGCACTGGGCCTCTGGTATCATATAATATACTTCATAAATTCTCTCTCTTTTTTTTTAATATATACTTCATATATTATATGATACCAGAGGTCCAGTGTACGTATTTGTACACCAGTGGGGTCCCTTGGCCTGGCCTGCAGAGATCAGGCCTAAACTGGCAGTCCAACATCCCCCAAGGGGTCCCAGATTGCGAGAGGGTGCAGGCCAGGTTGAGGGACCCCACTGGTACATGAATCGGTCCACTGGGTCTCTAGTATGAACGTAAGATCTTTAGTTAATCTCTTCCCACCCTCCTCCCTCCCCACTTCCTCTGAAATTCATCAGTCTGTTCCATGTTTCCATGCCTGTGCAATGAGCATCGGCCCCCTGGTGGTCAGTGCACATCATAGCTACCCGTTGAACAGTCACTTAGGCTTTTATATATATAGACTATTTATATATCACATCACCTCTCTAATTAGTTTTCCACTTTAACTATTCAGAAAGAAATAGGGAAGCCTGAAGATTCTCAGATATTATAGCAAAGGCTGAAGAAGCAGATAAGAAAAATGAGTGTAATCAGGATCTCATAGCACAGCCCTTCCTTATTTCCTGGGCTGGAAATCCCCATCATCAGAATCACTTAATGACTCAACCACTAGGGAACTATCTCCAGAAAGGCACAATTAAGTGTTTAGTACCTGGGAGCCTTTTCCATAGCATCAGTTGACTCATCAGATAAACTAGCTAATATCATGGGGACAAGAAAAAATAAACATTTCACCATGTGGAAAAAAGTCCTTGGAAAGGGAGGACATCAAGAACTGGTTGGTCGGCTATAGAAATGGGATGGTTAGGGTTAGCACGAGGAAAAGAGAACTTATAAAGAATGAGAAGTTATATATTTTAAAGGCACGTTTTAAAACTTGTCAAGCCACTAATATCTATTAATTTGGGCAAAATAAAAATTAGTAATTCTGAGTTTACATTTAAGGACGATCATAAAAAGACTATTTCCAACTGTAAAAATTTAGAAGCAATGTAGGTGTCGAACAACAGAACAATTGTTAAATAAGGTGTATCTATAGATTGAAATATATAATTATTAAAAATTATTTTTCTTGCCGAACTGGTTTGGCTCAGCGGTAGAGCGTTGGTCTGTGGACTACATGGTCCCAGGTTCGATTCCGGTCAAGGGCATGTACTTTGGTTGCGGGCACATCCCTGGTAGGGGTTGTGCAAGAGGCAGCTGGTCAATGTTTCTCTCTCATCGAGGTTTCTAGCTCTCTATTCCTCTTCCTTCCTCTCTGTGGAAAAATCAATAAAATATATTTAAAAATAAAAAAATTTAAAAAATTAAAAATTAAAAAAATTTATTTTTCTTGTTCATTTGTGGAATATAATGAACAACATAAACTAATGAACCAACACAGAACCAGAGGAAAAAATATTTTAGAATATAACAGAAGTAATCCTGTTATTTACAAATTTTTAATATTTCCTACAACTTTGGTGATATTATACTATGTTGGTATAGTTTTGGTAATATTATTATATTTAAAATCATTTTTATTAAAATATTAATGTTTATTACATGTAAAAAATTATTTTTGAAGAGTTTTCACTGACTGAAAATATAACATGTTAACAACAGTATCTATGAGTTACAGGATAATATAAGTCCTTTTTTATTTTTTTAGTGCTCTACAATGAGCATATGTTACTTTTATAATTTAAAAAAAAAATAACATGATCTAACAGAGAAAAATCCACATGAGAGTTTAGGATTAAATGGACATGGGTTTATACTGACAAAAGTCTATTTTTGAAAGTATGTTGCCCAGCCCTAGTCTAACTAGCAATAACCCCACAGAACAGAACCACTGACCTTAAGGTATGATGACACTTCAAAGAAAAGAGCAAACATTTTTCATACAAAGTTAATTTTAATATGCTTTAATCTTTTAAAAATACCAAATTTGCCCTAACCGGTTTGGCTCAGTGGATAGAGCGTTGGCCTGCGGACTCAAGGGTCCCAGGTTCAATTCTGGTCAAGGGCATGTACCTTGGTTGTGGGCATATCCCCTGTAGGGCTGGGCAGGAGGCAACTGATCGATGTTTCTCTCTCATCGATGTCTCTAGCTCTCTATCCCTCTCCCTTCCTCTCTGTAAAAAACTCAATAAAATATATTAAAAATAAATAAAAATACCAAATTTACTAATATTCTTATACTACTTTTGACAGTCTAAAAGTATAATTATTATTAAAATTCAAACTTAAGATAAGTACTAGTTCATGTCAGTTGCTGGTATTTACAAAACTAGGTGTTTAGCTCACCAGGCAGTTTAAATCATTTACATAATATTGCAAACCAGGCCAGACAAGTGGAAGGAAGGAGCAGATTGGAAAGCTAATGTTCACTGGGAGAGAACAGTGCACCTGAGGGAGGCATGCTGGGTGGGTCTTGGCCACACGGGTGTTTCTGTGTCACAGCTGCGCTCAGAGAGCCTTCCCTCCCTTTGTTTTCCTGCCCCTTCCACTTCCCTTGCCCTAGCTTACATTCTGCCGATCTCTTCATTCTCTGTACAATTGACAAGCTACTAAAATCCACCAGTAAGCAAGATATTTCCGAATTCACTTCACCCATCACACACAGTCCTAAAATGCTAGGTTACTTAATCTTTATAAAGAGAATTTGAAAAATTCTTCCCACACTCAGGTGAATGAAGAGATAGAAAACAAAACCACAGAACTGGAGATTTCTCCTTGACTTGCTGGATGTAAGCTTTTGTTTAGTTTTACAGAAAAGGAATCTTTCCCATGTCTTCTTTTAGAGCCTCCCCTTTTCTTTTTAAAGTAGTGATAAACTTTAAATAAAATGAGATAAAAGACAAAAATACAGGACAAAAATTTAAAAAGCAAAAATTTGTGATACTTCATACACACAGAAATTAGATAGCATGTTGTTATATTTTTAAAATTTTAAATGTATTTATAGTTTAATAAGTATCTTTTAGGTGCTTTACAGGGGTGGGCAAATTAAGTTAAATTATCAATCATCATTACCTAAAAGATAAATCATAAGTGAGGATATGAAATAATAATAATAAATAATACAATAATCCTACATAATAAAAGAGCAATATGCTAATTGACCATACCTTCGCTATGCCCACAGCCAATCAGGGGTGCTATGCAAATTAACCCAGCAAAGATGGCAGCCCCATGCGCTGCCCCACCCCCCACTGCTGAGGGACCCAGTGATGGCTGAGGGACCCGGGCGGCGGCAGCGCCCACCCCCGTACTGCTGCCACCGGGGTCCAGGCCCCGACCCTGAGAGAAGATGGAAGGCAGTGGCAGAGCCAAGGCCTGGGTCCCCGGGGCCGGAGGAAAACCGGTGCCGGCAGCCAGGTGAAGGAAGTTCTATTGCACGAATCTTCGTGCAAAGGGCCTCAGGTTAATAAATAATAATACAAGAATAAACTGCTTTTCGTGTACTCACAGCAGTAGACCTAATTTTTCCCTCCCCTGTATATATTCCAGGAACCTGGACTCAAAACAGAAATGAAAAGTTGAAATGTATAAACAATTCTATTATGTCTTTTGTATCCACTGCAACTTCTAATATATAAATGTTACATTAAATTCCAGAATTATCATTAAAAAGCAATACATGATTCTGGACAGGACCCTTTTACTATATAGAACATTTGGGACAACTGGTGAATTTTGATGAAATCTCTGGCCTGAATGGCAGTAATGTGTTAATGATAATTTGAGATTTGTGGTTAGATTATGGTTATATAGAATATATTGTTTAAGAAAATATACAATGAAGTATTTAAGAGTAATGTGGTATCATGTCAACAACTTATTCTCAAATGTTTTTGGAAAAAAGTTTCTAGCAGAGTACTTGAACTTTTGTGTATATTTGCAATTGTTCTTAAAAAGAAAACATTAAAAAAACAACAAAAAAAAACCACACACCTAAATAGTAAAAAAATAAAGTTACATTTATATTTTATATAAATTATCTGAGTTTTGCATGAACTACCTCAGTACTGTGTGTGTGTGTGTGTGTGTGTGTGTGTGTGTATGACATTAAATCTCCCTCCCTATCTTTTCTGTAACCTTAAACTATTTTCACCTTGTTTACTGCTCCATCCAAGCCAGAAAGAAGGGTGAGGGAAGTAGTTCAGAGATTTTCTTTTGTTAAGCACCGAAGGGTCTACTAATTCAATATCTGTAAGGTCAATACAATTCTTTCTACAGAGATAATAAATTCATAAGGCAGAGATCCTAAACTGAAATTTTGTAATTAGGCAAGTGCTTGTACATAAAAATAAACTGTGATAACAGTTTGTTGAAACTCTTTAAAAGGGTGGGAATTACTAGGTTAAAATATGTGGCAGAGTACCAAACAACATTAATAGGAAGCATATTTGGAAAAAAGTGTGTCTTACTTACTGTAAATTTGCTAACACCTTCAAGTTCTCCAAATCGCATGTAAGAGATGTCTGCCTTCTTTTTTCCAACATCTATATCCCCTGTATAGATTTGTTTTATGCCTGCACCTTTAATTAAAGGTACACACTCATCACATGGGCACTTTGTCACAAAAATCATACTTTTTTCTTCTGGTTTTATTTCTTGACACCTACAAAAAGTGTATAAAATATTAAAAGGATAGTTTCTAAAAGGGTAAGTTGTATTTCAGAGAAATCTTTAAAAATAAAACATCTGCTTTAAGAGCAGATTTACAACATTATAAACAATAAGTGAAACTTATTCTTTCTGAATTAATGAGTATTCAAAATCTAAACTCATAAATGTTAAAATATAACCTGAACATGACAATTATTATAAGCAAAATTTACTTATTCTAAGCAATCTGGCAAGATTTCAGTATTATATTACAAAGTAAATGAAAACAGTAAGAGAGCGAGAGAGAACACAATGTTCTTTAAGAAAGTACTTCTTTCTAATGCCAAAATCAGGGGCCAGAACCAACACCCCCCTTAAAAGTTTATGATGTCTAATGTTTATGACATTAACTAACGGTAGCCAAATGACCTATCCCCCTATCTGGTACCCAGTGGATATTTAATAAATGCTTACTAAACTAATAAATTTACTGTTATCCTTGGTTTTGCAGACATCAATTTAACAGACTTTGGATTTAATGGTCAAAATTCCATTAAATCCCTGTTAATTTTAAAATGTTTTTAACCAAGATTTGCTTATAATTAACAGGTTATTTGCTTATACTGTTATTTTTAACAAATTTTAGCATATAGGCCATATGTTGGAAAAAAACATTGTAATAATTTCACCAACATAAATATTACATATCTACAACTATAGTTTACATATTTAAATCCAAGAGTCACTGCTGGTAAACAGTATTTGGTGAATCAATAGCACACGATCACGCCGCACGGTGCCTGGGATTGTTCCATTGTTGCATGGCGTGACTTTCTGCAGCATAATTACATGTGCCGGCTGATGTTTCCACATGTGCTAAGCCGTGCCCCAGCGTGTGCGTTTGTTTACACTCGGTGACTACTAAACGCAGGCATTTACTAGACCTATTAAGAATAAATTTAAATTTATAGTAATACATATAGAAAAGTTTTCTGTGAAATTAATCTTTCTACATACTTAATTTTAACTATACAAACATGTCTACATAAGTAAAAATTGGTGAACTAGTTTGTCGATTTTTTAACATACACAGGCAGAAAACCAATTTTATTATATAATGGACTTTCAGCTTTAACAGACAGCCCCTTGCCCATATTAGTCTGTTATATCGAGGCTTTACTGTAATATTAAAGTTCTGCATAGAGATATATTTCCTTACCCCCTTCCCTAACATGGGATAATTTTATTTAAGAAACATTTAGATTTAACATATCCATATCTCCATACAATCTGTGATGAAGAGCACAGGCAGGGAGGAGCTGTGTGAATGGGTATTTAGGACTAAGAGGTGCTCTCAGCTGGGGCTGCAGGGGTTGTACTTCCTGGTTCCACGGTTCCCTCTGCTCAGAGTGAGCCATCTGCCACCACCACCACCTTCCCTACCCATCTTTCTAGTTCAGACTCTCATTTGTTCACCTGGACTAGGCCAACACAATTTTATGCACCAAACCTATTCAAACAATATACCCGTAATGTAAGAAATCAGTACTGTGACTCTCAACGCCATTCCATGTTCCCAAGTGAAGTCTCACCTCACAGTCTTCCCTATACAGTCCCACCTGGTCCCAGTGCTCCACGGTCCATCCTCACTGGAGCTGCATGTTCCCACACAGAAGCTTTCTTCCTACTTTTAGACCACTGCTCTGCCCGAAGCAACAATGACTCCCCTGTAAGTACCTCCAGTTGTCACAGTCCTACCAAACCTTAAAGCTCAGCTGAAATGCGAGCTTCTCCATAAAGCTTTTCCCTCCTAACCTCCTTCCATCCATGGCAGCCCCTGAATTTCGACAGCACTTGGGTTGGGTGAATGCACTTTCACATTCCCTACGGTATTCCAAGCTCTTAAGGATAGGAGCAATATTTCATTCAGATTCCAATACCCTAAGATCACCCCTTCATGGTTAATGCTGAGAAATGTTTGTGGAAATAATCTAAATTAACATCCGAGGAGGAGGTAATGCCATTTACAACCTCTAACAAAATGAAATTCCTATATTAAAGGAATTTAGTTCATAATAAAATCTATATATTTATAAAAACAAAATATGTGCTTTAGATTTTGAAAACAAAGGACAGCTTACATACCAGAAATATATAAGACCCTAAGGATACACTTCATGCCATTTTATATTAGAGAGCAAAGGAATAAGGAGGAAAAAAAGATTGTTCAATAAATCTGAAGGCCCACAGTATCTCTGATGATGGCCTCAGGTCAGGCAGTAAAGACGAAGTATAACTAAAGTTATACTTCTAAAGAGTATTTATTGGAATAATAAAAATTTTTAAAAGGAAACAAACTGCAGCTAAAAGTAAACTAAATTCAGCTCTGGCTGGGTGGCTCAGCTGGTTGGAGCATTGTCCCATACACCAAAAGGTTGTGGTTCAATTTCAACTAGCCCTTGCTACATTTTAATGAAAATAAATGTAAAGGAATTTCATACCTAAAGGTCAAGGCATTCTGTTCAGCATGGATGATGTATCTGAATTTTCTTATTTCTCTGTCTTTCTGTTTGTCATCCATGTTTGGGAAGTCGGCATACTCAGATCCAACAGGAAAAGCATTATAACCACATCCTATGAAGTACATCATGCCTGTCCCATCACAATTTTGCTACAAAAGGGAGCAAACCAACAAAACTTAGTTTTCAACATTGTGAAAAGGCAGCTTAGTATATTTTATATAATGAATTTAATTTTCTATGAAAAACTGAACCATCAAAAATATAATATTAGGTCCTCCAACTGCAGTGTGGTTTTATCAAAGCTAAATTTCAAGAAAGCTGATCATCTTTCTAACATATAATCTCAAGGCAAAATTGGTTTAACAGTTAATTACTAGTAAATATTAGCTTGTCTAATTCACCAATTGTTTCACTTGATTCGGATAGCTCTTCTAGAACAGGTTATAAGATGCTAGAGAACAGAAATCATGCTTTCTTCTATCTTTATCTCTTAGAGTACACCTATTAGAGTGCTTTGTATATTAAGAGTTACTCAATAAATGACTGTTAATTTCTCATATGCACTGTGCTGGGCTACTGGTTAGCAAGCCAGAAATTTAAAACATTTTGAGCTATTTCTTTTGTTGGGCTAAAAATGTGCCAATATGATGTAATTATTATTATTTTTTTAATATATTTTATTGATTTTTTACAGAAAGGAAGTGAGATAGAAAGCTAGAAATGTCGATGAGAGAGAAACATCGACCAGCTGCCCCTTGCACACCCCCTACTGGGGATGTGCCCGCAACCAATGTACATGCCCTTGACCAGAATTGAACCTGGGACCTTTCAGTTCACAGACCGATGCTCTACCACTGAGCCAAACCGGTTTCGGCAATATGATGTAATTAGAAAATAAAAATTTTAGTTTCTCATAATCGTCAATAATTATTGAGCCACTATTATATTTGTATATATTATTATAGCACTTCTTACTTCACTGGTTCTTCTTTATTTCTCCTGGTCAATGGCATATTAGCTATTATTATGAATGTTCTATCAATTATTAGAGTGAAATATTTTAAAAATCATAAGTATTTATAGTAGTTTGGAATATGCTATAATAAACCTCACTAAATTTCAATATATTATAATTACTCATATGCAAGTATCAACAGACTCATTACTGTAGTAACTTGATAAAAATCACCGTTACAGTGAGCAAGCAAAAGCTTACAAATAAATGACCTTATTAATAACAAATTATTCTTGAGGACTTACTGTCTAACATCATGCTGAGTTTTATATGTATTATTTCATTTAACCAATTTTCACAACATAGAGAACAGCAGTACTACCATTATTCCCGTTTTATGGATACGGAAACTGAAGCCAAGGTCACAAAACTAGTAACAGATGAAATTCAAGCTCAGGTTGACTCCAAACCCATGTCTTTGCACTTCACCATGCTGTGTACACTGTATGTAATTTGAAAGAAAACTTAAATTCTCCACAAAGTAGTCCAGAACAACCAGATCTTAAGCTCATATAAACAAGACAGAATTCCTGTCCTCGTGAACCTTATAATCTAGAGATGATAAGAAACTGGACACACAATCTTAACTGTGATGAGTGAGACAAATGGACTGTTCAGAAGACTATGAAGTTTTTGGTAGAGGAACCTATTCTAGTAGGTGTTAACAGCTGAGGTAGAGATAAGTAGGGTAAAGAGATATTTTGAAGGTGGAGTCCACAGTACCTGGGGATTAATTGAATGTGTGGCATTAGAAGGAATGGGATGGTGACCACTGATGAAGAAATAGGTTAGCAGGGAAAATACTAGATTTATTGGCTAGGATGAACTGAAAGGACTTATGAAACATCCAGGCAAATAGTCAAATTACTTGCTATAAAGTCTATTGAAACAAAATTTAGGGTCCTACACATAATTACTAAGAACTATCTCTTGACTCGGTGCTCTCCTAACTCATCCCCATAATTCTAAGCCTTCATCATATTTTATACGAATGTCCCTATTTTCTGTCTAGATCTGTCTCATTATTATAATGCAAATCTGAACCAAACATTTTCCCACTTAAAAGACTCTTGGATTGGCCTGGCCACTGTTGCTCAGTGCTTAGAGTCAGCCTTGCACCCAAGGTTCGTGGGTTCAGTTCCTGGTCAAGGGGATGTACCTGGGTTGCAGGTTTGATCCCCGGCCCCAGTCAGGGCACATGCGGGAGACAATCTCTTTCTCGCTCTTTCTCTCTCCCTCCTTTCTACTCTCTCTAAAATCAATGGAAAGAAAATATCTCAGGTAAGGAATTAAAAAAAAAAAGATTCCAATATTACCAACACCATTTATTGAATAGACTTTCTTTACCCCACTGTATGTTCTTGCCTCCTTTGTAAAATACTAAATGACTATAAAGGCATGGATTTATTTCTGGGCTCTCTATTCTGTTCTATTGATCTACATTTGCTTTTATGCAGTACCATCTTGTTTTGATTACTATGGCCTTGTAGTGTTACTATCATGTAGTGTGATTCCTCCAACTTTCTTTTTTTCTCTCTCTCAAGCTTGCTGTTCCTATTTGGGTCTTTTGTGGTTCTGTATACATTTTTGGAATATTTGTTCTAGTTCTGGTGGCTGTCCCTTCAGCTCCCTCACCAAAGCCACAAATCCCACTCTCCTCATGGGACTCATCACTGCGAATGACATTTTATGTGTTGGCCCTTTAAGAGGGCACCTGTATCTCTAGCCATCTCTCACTGGTGGACAGAAACCTCAGAGCTTTTCATAGCTAGATGTTATTTGGATGCCTCAATTTATTTTATTTTTTATTTTTTGGTTAATCCTCACCCAAGGATATTTTTCCCATTTATTTTTAGAAAGAGTGGAAAGGAGGAAGGGGAGGATGAGGGAGAGAAACATCTATGTGAAAGAGACACATCAATTGGTTGTTTCCTACATGTGCCCCAATTGGGGCCGGGGGTCAACCCTGAAACCCAGTGACTGGGATTCAAACTAGGACTCTTGGGTGCGAGGGCTGAAGCTCTAACCACTGAGCCACAACGGCCAGGGCTCTGGGCGCCTCTTCTCAGCTCTGGTGCTCTAGCCCGGGGGCCCAAGTAGGAGTTTCGATCCCAGGCTTCTCAGGAGAACTGCCCTCACGGAGCTGAGATATCCCTCCAGGGCCAGCCCTTTTTGTGTTTCCACCCTTCCCACCAGTCTCAATGTGGGTTCTCCTGTAAATCCCTGATTATAAAGCTTTTCTTCAGTTCATCTTTAGTTGGTTATTCAGGATGATTCTTATATAGTCTAGTTATAACTCTGATTTGGTCCTGGGAATATGGGAGTTTAGCTTCCACCTATTCCATCACCATCTTAGATCCACCCAAAGCTCTGAAGTCCACGATCAGTGGCAGGGTTGTTTCCTGTAAGACCTCTTGCCTTGGTTTGTAAACAGTCATCTTCCCGTGTCTTCACCTGACTCTCCCTTTAAAGCCACTGTGGCACTCTCTTGGCCTTCTGTGCAAGTCATTAATAATCTTTTATATGGATTACTTATTGAAATGATAGTTATGGACAGATTAGATTAAAATGCATTCTTAAAATTTAATTCATCTCTTTCTAAATATGGCTTCTATATATGTGGCTTGTCTTTTATTTCCACTGCTTAGCTCTGTGCTTGTGTATTCCATTATCTAAAAGATAAAGTCAAAACTCTCTACATGAAATACAGAGTTCTTCAGGGTCAAGACCAATTTCTCCTACCACACTTTGCACTCCAACATGCCAAATCACTTCCATTTTCCAATTCCCTCTCACTCCCCTCACCTCTGCATGCTGTCTTCCTAGTCTCACGAACTTGCTCTGCCTGGTGAATTCTTATTCATTCTTCAAGACAAACAGCATCTTATCTCCTCCAAGAATATTTTACTCATTTCTTCAAGTGAGTTAAGGTAGACCCTCTGAGCTTTCATGGTAATCATGTTATAATCACTCTTACATACCAGTCTCTTTTTCACTTCTGTCTGCATTACTAGATTACAGAAGGCCATGGAGGGCGGGAAATATGGTCTTTAACTCCCCAGTGTACTCTGTGGCACAGTGTTCAACAAATGTCTGCTAAATAAATGAATCTATCCATAAAATTGTTGAGGGAGTAAAGAAATGCTTATAGAACATAAAATCAATATAAAATATTAATGCTTATGGGTCAACAAAATAATGTATTTAAGGCTGAAATATATTTAAAGAAAATCAAAGTTAAATGTTTAAACAATTAGTTTAATACTTACAGATTTTTTTTCTGCCCAAATGACTGCTCCAACTCCTATTTTATGATCTTCTGAAAGATAAATGGCATTTAACTCAGTAAAAAAAACAATGATTTGTTAGTTTCAGAACTATACTTTTCTAAAAATAATATAAACATATTTATTGGAACATAGTTCCTAAATGTAGCAGCAATTCTTGACATCTCCCAAATTATATAAAACCACTAAACAAAACACTTATAAGCATGCAATATGGGAAGTAGATACTAAATAACTAGACACTGTCACTACCAACCCAGTCACACGTGATCTGTATGTGGAGACATTACAATGGCCGTGTCCAGGAGCAGAGCTCTAACCAGAATTGAGTGTAACTATTGATTCTCCACCAAGTCAGTTTCTAAGTCACTATTTCTAATAGATGATAAAATTGATTAAAAAACAAGTTTCTGAACTAATGGATTTAATGTAATAAACATTCACACAACCATCAAGTCTGTCTTCTAGCATTTTTAATACTGTAATCGGAAAAATACATTTCATGAAAATGTTCTTACTATGAAAAATGTTCAGATGTAAAATACAAACATAAATAAATATTTATGGGGTTTTCATATGTTTATATTGCTGGAAAGATCCATGAAGGGTATTTTGATTTAAATACTATGTTGTCCTTTCCCTGACCTTCATAATTTGCCTTTGGGAGGGGGAAAGCCCAGTTAATTACATGATGCTCATTTCTAAATCAATTGTAAGAGTATAATTTTCCTGCAGAACCAAAATGTCTGCAATAAATAAAACTGTACTTCTTAAAACCATTAATATGAAACAAAATTTAAAAACCAAAAGAGAAATTCTATATATAAAGGATTGACTTTTTCCTTCTACTAATACCAGGGAGAGTACAAATTTCTAAGAAAATTATGAAAAACAGAGTATTTATCAAACTCTTAATAAGAGACAAATATAGTGAAGTAAGTACATTTACACAAAGTAACAATCACCTGTGAATTTGGGCTAGAACATTTTCATATTGGTGAGGATTAAGTGTGGCTTCATCCTATAATTTCCTTACAAGTAATCTCCAATGATAACATTTGAATACTTAACTTTTTTAGTAAAAATACAGAGAAACTTTATTTCACCTTTGTATTAAAAATTATGCCTCAAATAATTTTTAAAAGTTATGATACTGTAATAAAATTCCCCAACTAGTTAAAGCAAGCTCAGATTTTTAAAATTATCTTATAAAGCATTTGCATAATTTATTTGAAGCACTTTTTACTCATTGCCTCATTTTTTACCCTATAGGTAGAAAACAGGCAAAGAAATTGACTAAAATTTAGCCCTCTGAACCTAACCTACTTTGCCTTTCCTCTACCCTTCCTTTGACGGTAAGAATTTCCTAACAAACATTTCCCCTCATTGAATGCCCGGGTATACAGTGGTGAGGAAAACAGAAGTCCTTATATTCATGAAACTTACAGTCTGTCTGATGAGGAAGGAAGACAGGAACAAGGAAACACCTCTGTGCTGTGCTGTCAGAAAATTAATACAATGCTGAGGAACAGAGTGTATGGGAGGAGGAGGGCTCACTCTATGAGTGGGAACTGTCATAAAAGGGATTTTGGTGTAACGGAAATAGACCTTCAGAATAAAACATGTGGGGAAAGAATATAATTATGATCATTTCCAAGGCATGTGGCAGAAGTTATAACCGTAAGAGTATATTTGTCTGCAAAACCAAAACCTATATTGGAAGTAAAATTATACTTAATACATGCATAAATCTGAAACAAAAAATAAAAAAAACTGAAATAGATATTCTTCAGACTAAGAGCCTACTTTTCCTACCATCTACATTGAGTAACTTTCATGTTGTGCTTTTTTAAACTCGGAAGACACTTTTGTTTCAGTTTGGAGACAGATTAAACCTTGTCAAGAGGGGAAAAAATGTGACTTTCCACCAGCAATGCAACTTTAGTGCTTAAGGTTAGTCACACCACGAGAATATTCTTAAATTTGTATATGTTAAAATAAAAATGAAATTTCACCTATATGAGATTGAGTAGATTTCACTCAGCCCCAAAGTTGGCTGACAGATTAGGTAATTTCTCAAAAAGCTTTTCATGTCTGTAATTTTTACAGAAATTCTCTGGTTATTCACAGTGTCTTCTTGTACACCTTTGAAGGAATGGTCAACTTCCAAATCCCCGAGACTCTGGTCACTAAGAGTCAGATTAACCAGGGTTCTAGAACACAGGCATGGTTACTTTAGCTCCCAATTCTGTGGTGTTCAGGGTCTGCCCATGCGGTCTACAGGCCACTGTGTCAGAATCACGGCTGCTTGTTACAAAGGCAGCCTCCGGCCTCCCATGGAAAGGCCCTAAACCAACCTCTCCATGGAAGGCGGGAAGACGCAGGAATCTGTCTTTCTCATAAGCATTCCCTCTGTTAAAAGTTGAGAACCAATGAGTTATAACTTGAAACATTAAACTTTATTGACTACTCCAACCTACTTTTGTCATCAACATTGTGGTTCAGCTTTGGAAAATGTTTAGTGTGATGGGAAATCAGCATCCCAAAAAGCGATTAAAAAAATCACACTTAAACCAGGTAGATGAGATGTAGAGACTTCCAACTCTTTAATTGGTTCCCTTCCCCATGTGCCCTGACAGGGGCCAGGGATCAACCTTACAAACCAGGTACATGCCCTTGACTGGAAGCGCTGGCACTTGCTCTACCCACTGTGCTCACCATCCAGAGTTCTCTTTTTAAAATCCTCACCCAATAACACCATTTGAAAACAGAAGTAAGGGGGAAAAGATGGAGGGAGAGGAGGGAGAAAGAGAGGGATGGATGTGAAGGAGAAACAACAATCTGCTGCTTTCTGTATTTGCCCAATTGGGAATCAAACCCTCAAGACATGTATGTGCCTTAACAGGGAATCGAACCAGCAACCTTTCTATGCATAGGACTATGCTCCAACCAACTGAACCACTCCGGCTGAGCTACAATGAAATTCTTAAATAAAAATCAAGTGCTGCCGAAACCGGTTTGGCTCAGTGGTAGAGCGTCGGTCTAAAAAAATCAATAAAAAAATTAAATTAATTAAAATTTTTTTTTAAAAATCAAGTGCTTATTAAACCTGCTGCATGTCAAAGTTCTTGCAGACCTTTAAAAACATATGTCTTGGTCATACACTTATGGGACTTGGTTTAGTCTGGATTGAATGTGAACATTTGTTTTTTAATAAAATTTCAGGGATTTTGATATGCTGCCAGATGAGAGCCTCCATTCTACTGAAATTACTTTGACCTGTGGTCTTTGTTTAGAAAAATTACAGACAGTGAAATTTATATGAACCTTTTCGTTAAAAAAATGTTTTTATTAATTTTTAGAGAGGAAGGGAAAGGGATAGAGAGATAGAAACATAGATGAGAGAAACATCATTCGGCTGCCTCTTGAACACCACCTTCTGGGGATCGAGCACACAACCTGGACATGTGCCCTGATCAGGAATCGAACCAAGATCTCTTGGTCGATGCTCAACCAATTGAGCCACAACTGAACCTTTTCTGAAGACTTCCTCTGTTTTCCTTCTTTCTTGAGTTAAAATTTTTTTTAGTATATTCCACTCATCAGATCTTACTCTATTGCTCCTCCTGCCTGCATTTTTTCTCTTATTTCAAAGTTGCATTTTAAAGTGATGATTTTTTTTAATACATTTTATTGATTTTTGTACAGAGAGGAAGGGAAAGAGAGAGAGTTAGGAACATCAATGAGAGAGAGTCATCGATCAGCTGCCTCTTGCACACCCCCTACTGGGGATATGCCCGCAACCAAGGTACATGCCCTTGACCGGAATCGAACTCGGGGCCCTTCAGTCCCCAAGCCGACGCTCTATCCACTGAGCCAAACCGGTCCCGGCTAAAGTGATGATTCTTCTACTTTGAAATATTTTACATCTGATAAGATGTAAAAACAGTGGTCTATAATTGGAAATAGAGATGTCATCTTTTATTACAATAAAGAAAATCCCCAAGAAATATTTTAATGCCTTTTTAAAAAATATATTTTTATTGATTTCTTACAGAGAGGAAGAGAGAGAGATAGTTAAAAACATCGATGAGAGAGAATCATCAATCAGCTGCCTCCTGCACACCACCCCCTATCGTGTTTTCCCGAAAATAAGACATCCTCCGAAAATAAGACCTAGCGCATGGAAAGACAAGACATCCCCTGAAAATAAGACCTAGCGCAACTTTGGGAGAAAAAATTAATATAAGACACTGTCTCATTTTCGGAGAAACTGGGTATTAATGATGTGCCTGCCCAAGGTACATACCCTTAACCGGAATCGAACCTGAGACCTTTCAGTCCGCAGGCCGACGCTCTATCCACTGAGCCAAACCGGTTTTGGACCAAGAAATATTTTTTATTTTCACATATATGGCCATGCATAACTTTAAAAAGTAAAAATGCTTGATTTCTCTACTTGCATTGGAGACATACTAACTAGCAATTGGAAAAAATACGCCAATATTCTTTTAGTTTGATTCTGTTAGTTATTTTGAATTCATATATTGTAAAGATATTTAAAGTATTTATTAATATTGAATACATATAAATATTGAAGAGTTGCCCTAACTCAGGTGTCAGCAACCTGCGGCTCCAGAGCCGCATGCAGCTCTTTTGAAGCTTTACCGCAGCTCTGACAACTTGCAAGCCCATGTGAAAATGAAGGTAACGTCTTACAGCCCTGATGTGCTGACACTGTGCACTGAGGTTCAGGAGCAAAAATCCCATTAACCAGGTAAATTAAATATTTTAATTAGCTATTAATTTGCAAAAATATATTTTACATTGTTAAGTGAAAAAGTCCTTTTTTTCTTCAGATTGACAGCTAACTGCACTATCCGGTATATAGCATTAAGGTAAGAAACAATATATGCAGTGTTATATTTGTTTTAAATGTTGCAATGGTTTTGCAGCTCCCATGTTTTTTTTTTTCCTTCGGAAAAGGGGCCAAGTGGCTCTTTATGTCTTAAAGGTTGCAGACACCTGCCCTAACTGGTTTGACTCAGTGGATAGAGCGTCGGCCTGTAGACTGAAAGGTCCCAGGTTCGATTCCAGTCAAGGGCATGTACCTTGGTTGTGAGCACATCCCCAGTAGGAGATGTGCAGGAGGCAGCTGATCGCTGTTTCTCTCTCATCAATGTTTCTAACTCTATCTCTTGCCCTTCCTCTCTGTAAAAAATCAATTAAAAAAATATTGAAGTTAACAAAAATGAATGATTTGGTTCCCTCTCTATTTTTGTTCCATCTCTAGTGGAGGGATAAATGAACAGTGAAATGATAAAAACAAGCAGCAGAAAGAAGGGCTAATAATCAGGGCATGCAGTACCATAGTATAAGGTCACAAGGAATCCTAAAACTGCTGTGAGGAAGAGTTATCTACTCAAGGGTCTAATTTCTATGTTGTACAGATGGCCAGCAAAACCCAGTATCTGAGAGTAAATGAGTTCTCCCACAGATGAGATGAACCCACCTTCACTTTTGAGATAAATACAACCAACTGACAAACCCCAATACTTGAACTAAGCATAGAACTTACCAGTTCGATATGCCAGTAACCTGGCCTGAACCATGCAGTGCCTTGCAATTTCTTGTGGCAAACTTTGATTGTGAATTCCAATACTCTGTTCAGTCTTGTCACAATAAAATCCGTAGTGCTTACAGCTGGGCACACTGGAAGCTACTGTGGCCAAAAGTAGAATGAGGTCTTTCATGTTTTGCCTTAGATTGCTGAAGTATGGATTTTCACATAGGTTCTCCAAACCTATGGTCATCAGCATCTGCTTATGTAGTTCTTCACTTGAAACAAAAAATAACATTTCATATTCTTTTATTCTTTCTTGTCTACATTTGGAATAAAAGTCAATGTTAGTATCTGGAAATGTTTTTGCCATTTTTTGAATAAAGTCACATTTATAAGAGGTTTCCTCTACAAATTGCATCATACAACACACCAAAGGCTGAAGCAAGACACACACATGGGCCCTGCTGTTTGATTTCAATCTTTCCACTGCTTTGGCATCTAACTTTGCATCTTCAGAAGTAGATGCCTCAGAAAGCAAACTTATTTCTGGGTCAGCAGGCCAATATGAAATTCGGTTAACTCCGGCTGAAATACAAAATATGAAAGGTAGTTATCAGATACATTATGAAATTAAGGGCTTTCTTGATAAATTTACTGTATCACTGCAGTAGATCCAGAGATCCCAATATAATAAATGTCTATTACCAAGTCACTAATTAGGTATATAGCCTATTGGCAAACCATGGCTCACAGGCCATATCCAGCCCATTGCCTATTTTGGTATGGCTTGCAGGTTAAGAACATATTTTATTGTTTTAAATGGTTGGAAAAACAAAAACAAGAATATTTTGTGACATAAAAATCATGTGAAATTCAAATTTAATTGTCCATAAACAAACTTTATCGGGACACAGACCCACCATTCATTGACACAATCTCTGGCTGCTTTTGCACTACAATGGAGTAGCTGAGTTGAGAGCTGAGCAGCTGTATAGAAACCATGTGGCACACAAAGCCTAAAATATTACCTGACCTTTATAGGAATAGTTAACCAATCCCTCACAAAGTCCAGGGGAGGTATTTTGGAATCACTGGCCTTGCCAAGTATGGTCCATAAGCCCAATGCTGGAACTATATATATGTCAGAGTCCTACAAGTAATCAAATGGCTGCTTTTAGAAATATCATACTGGTAGCTGATAACTAACAGTGTCTAGAGTTTTGTATCTGAAATAAAGCAACCAGGCATTAATAATGTACCTATACTCTGAATTCTTTCTCTAGGAAGCTATTCTATGAAAATATTCTAAATAGAGACTGGAAAAAAAAAAAGCATGGATACTATCTATAGTGCAGCATTGTTTAAAACAGTAAAGACATAGGAAAACTAAACAGATAAAATAAGGGAATGATTAAACAGATTAGGATCTTCCTCGTAACAAAATATTATAGTTATCCAAAATTTCCACAAAGAACTTACAATTTGAGGACAGCAGTGGGGAGGGGAACTATATTCATTTTTTTAAGTCCACAAAATTAAAGACGGAACAACAAACTAGAAGGAACATTTTTAATCAATGTGATAGAGGAAAGGTTAGTAATCTTTAATATACAGATTTTAATTTATTAAGAGTATATACAGGTATAAATTGGTAAGAACAAGGCCTCAAAAGAATCCAAAGACATGAACAATTTACAAAAGAGAAAACAAAACTGGATAACAAACATAGGAAAAAATATTTTAATTTGTATTTCAGAATGAACAATGAGAGATGCCTTATAGAGAATGAAGCACTGAATTGTTCATCAGTTCATAAGTGTTTTACAACAGAGACTCCTTTGCTAGTATCTCATGTAACTGCAGTTTTTATGGCTGTGTCCAGAAGTGACTGGATGGTTGGCCCACAGGGTGTTGTGCATTCAAAGTAACAGAGGAACTAAATAAAGTTTTAGTTGAATTAACACACATTTCTATCTATTCCGTTACTTCAAACTCCTGCTGTGACTTGGGCTGTAAAGCAATTTTGAAAGCCTCAAAGCTAATGTCAGAATGTTTCCTCTGGCTGCATTTCACCTACCCTGTTGGAGTTCTCAAAATCCATTTCCTAACCAGCAGAGCTGGTCAGTCTTTCATCTAAACATCCTTGTTGCTTCTAGTAAACCTGATTCAAGGAGAAGAGGGGATGGCCAATCTTTAAAAAAATATTCACGTAACAGTGGCAAATGCTACTGCAGAAAATTTCCAATTTTGTTGTCTCAGACCCAATTACACTCTTTAAAATTAAGGAGGACCTCAATGAGGTGTAGATTATATCTATTGATATATACTGTATTAGAAAATAAAACAAAAATGTAAAAATATTAATTCACTAAATAATAAATAAATAAATAAATAAAACAATAAAGAACCTATGCCACATTATTACAAACTCGCGGCCAGGTGCACAACATTCATACACTGGGTGGGAGGGAAGGGGGCACAGGAGGGGAGGTCCCTCAGACCAGCCTGTGCTCTCCCACAACCCGGCAGTCGAACATCTTTAGCACTACCACAGAGGCAGAAGCTACCACCACCACTGCGCTCACCAGCAGAGCCCGGCTTCTGGCTGAGTGGCGCTCCCCCTGTGGGAGTTCACTGACCACCAGACGGCAGCTCCTGCATTGAGTGTCTGCCCCCTGGTGGTCAGTGTGCATCATAGCAACTGGTTGTTCCTCCATTTGGTCAATTTGCATATTAGGACTTTATTATATACTAGACACCCGTTGCACGAAGAGATTCATGTAATAGAGACTTTCTTCTCTTAGCTTCCAGCTCCAGTTTCCTTCGGCACCTGGGACTCAGGCCTTCCTTGTCTTTGCTGCAGGCTCCAGCCAGAGTCTGCCACCTTGGTCTTTGTTGAAGACTCCAGCCAGAGACTGCCATCTTCGCTGTGGCTGGAGTGCTGCTCCTATAGATCCCTTCGCCCCCTGCCCTCCCTCTCCACACCTAGAGCAGCTGGGCAGCCGCCATCTTTCTCTTTCTAAATTGCATATTCCCTCCTGATTGGCTGGTGGATGTAGTGAGTGATGGTCAATTTGCATGTTTCTCTTTTATTAGTATAGAGTAGGGGTGTCGAACTCAATCAGAGAAGGGGCCAAAATCTAAAATCCAGCCGAATGGTTTACTGAACAGTCATAAACTGTCATTGTGATGGAAACGCAGCGGAGTGCAGTGATGACAGCGAGGTGCGGGCCACATTGCAAGGCCTGGCGGGACGGATTTGGCCCGCGGGCCTTGTGTTTGACACATGTGGTATAGAGGATAACATAGCTTAATGAAAAATAACTATTTTCCCAAACTACAACAGAAACTAGTATAGGAGAATGACACGGCTTTAATTTTTACATCTCCCTCTGTGGTAGTGCTAAGGATGTCCGACTGCCAGATTGTGGGAGAGCATAGGCCAGTCTGAGAGACCTCCCCTCCTGTGCCCCCTTCTCCCCCACCCAGTGTATGAATGTTGTACTGGCTTAATAGAAGACATCTGGATTCTGAAATCTGTTGCTGCTTTCAATCTGCTGCAATAGGTTGTTTTATTGAAGTATTGTATATGAAAAGTAGCCAGCCTCACACAGATGTGTAGTAGAAAAGGAGTATTTTAACAGCCATTTCAGATAGTTGTCAATATTCTTCTTTGACACCATATAAAATTTTAAGAAAGGATAGTCTTAAAAATCATAAGTTTTTGTTCTCTTACATTAAATTCCATTATTTTTAAAAATTTCTATTCATTAACACCACCGATCTCATCCAGAAGAGTTTTTAAGTCTGGGAAGCTGTAAGCTCTTGATGGCAAGGTTTTCAAAATTTTCACTTGAAAACTCAAATGTTATCATCGACAACAAATACTGTCAGTTGTTTTCTTAGAAGTGAAAGATTCACTTAACGTATTTTTGAGATAATGTCTGTCAAATATCCAAGTGTTTATAGCTTTTCAGATCACAGTGTTCCATGAAAAAAAAAAAAAAAAAAAGGATAATTCAGTTCATAACTCAAACATTTGCATAGCTAGTTTTCCGTAAGGCAACCTTCATACTTAAGTTTGTAGCTAAAGTGCTTTATATCTCCCTCTTATTTTCTCACACAGAATATTATAAACATGTGTACTCAAGGACTGGGATTTAAAATTAATAATTTTTATTGTTTCACCAAAGACATTCATACATGAAACCTTTTTTCCCTCCTATGTACCTGGCCATGAAGAGTAAGTACAATGACTACCAGTTCCTTGTTTGTTATTAGGCAGCAGTTTTGAGAGGAGTTAGAAAGAGGATTCGGCAGACAGGTAAGGGGTGGAAGAAGGAAGTTCGGACATGACCATTGGAGCCAGCTAAAACTGTAACAATTCCAGGGCAGGAGCAATAGGGAAACTGAGACAGGAAAGTTAAAACAGTGTGGGCAACTTGCAGCCAGCTTGTAATTAACAAACCATTATCTTCTCCAGCCAAGGACACAGAGCAGATGGTTAAATAAAAACCTCCCTGACGAGAGAATGCAAAAAGGGAGGAGGAAAGGTGAAAGGAAAAAGGGGCCATTTTATTCCCTAAATAGAGAAGCCAGCAGTCTCAAAGCTTGGCAAGATAAAGTTGCCAGGTGCTTATGAATTCTGGAAAGGCCACAACAAAGTAAAAAAAAAAAGGAGCCTTGAGAATTAATGTTCCAAATAGCCAGCAGAGGACATTTGAAACCTATAAGCAAGAGGGTATATAATTCCTCACACCCCCACCCAACTTGCTCTTCAGATTAGCTGAGAGCCCGTGTGCACTTCATGAGCCAGATGTATACTTTGCTTGTTTTGCTTTTGCTTTTTCAATAAAGATGCATGCTTTAATTGCTTTAATAAATTGGCTTTTCACAACGCAGTCAGGGTCTCTCATATAAATTAATCCTCTCTGGTATTGGCAAGAGGTACCTATTACAAAATCATAGGAATGCTGGTCTTGCAGAAAAACAGAACTCCACAAGACAAGAATGCTTATCTTACATGTGCAAAAAGTTGCAAGAGATAGGGAAGGAAAAGGAAGAGGGGGAGCACCAGGTGGATTTTAAAACTGTTGGTGGGCGAAGAAGATAGAAGAAACCAATCAGAAAGCAACCTGGGTAAAGAACAGGCTTTGGCTAAATACAATATCCCTAGATTAACGAGCTTTAGTGGCAACCCATTATTGGGACCCCTCCCCACGTGGAGAGTTTGTATCTGCTTATAATAAATTTCCACACATTTGCTTAAATCTTCTGGTTCTTGATTTTTTTTTTCTTCAATTTCATGAGACACGATCTGAGGAAGAACATCGGCTCACCGTTGGGGAATCAGCTTTACACACCACTGTTTTGGAACTATTAGGGTCAATTTGGTAGTAAGATGAAAATGTTCTTGACCTTGTGGAACATGAGGAGTCCACAGACCACACAGGCTCTGCCACCAACCCGAAGCGACAGCCCACCAGATTGCAGCCGAAGCTGCCAGGGACCTCATGGCGCAAAATGCAGCCCCCAGCCCAGCCCAGCCCAGCCGTCCCAGCCCAGAAACAGTGGCTGTGGGCGCCGGGGAATGACGTCCCATAGCAGTGGAAAAGGATTGGAGACTATACCAGCCTTTTTCCCCCAGAAACTCTCTGAAGGAGGCTTCTTTACAAGGCATGTTTGTTCATTTCCTTTGGTAACTGAACTCAAACTCCAGTCCTCTCTCCTTCACAGAAGTCTGGGAGGTGGGGCTGAAAGTTCCAACCCTCTAGTCACTTGGTTGGTTCCCCTGGCAACCAAGACAAGCCATAAGGGTTTTCCAAAAATCACTTCATTAACAGACTCAGGTGTGGTTGAAATGAATAACAAAGACACTTTTATCACTCATCACTCAGTAAGTTCCAGTAAGGTCTGAGTTACATGGAAACTTGCCTACCTGTTGGCAGTCACACCTGGGAACAAATTAGTGGCCAGGATGGGAGTAGTCACTGCAAGGGTGCAAAACCTAAATAATTTGTATTTATAAACAAAGATGTGAGCTCATGGGGGCGTGTTCTCTCTCTCTCTCCCCCCTCTCTGTCTCACACACACACACACACACACACACACGCCAGCCCATCTTGGGACTTATGCTGCAGGGTCTGCACAGCCATGTGGGACTCCCACAATGCATTAATGGACTGAACCTGGATTAAATACTAAACTATCCTCCACTGTAACATGGAAAGGAAGCTCTGTACACTGGACCTGCTTCTGCTTTGCTGAACTCCCAGCAGCCCTCTTTCAGAACTGGCTTGGGGAAATGGAACACTGCAACTTAAAAAATGTAACCTCATACAAATAAAGCCTTCCTCCACATCCCATCCTCCCATGGGGCTTCTGAAATGCTTCCTTCAGCAGCACCCCAAGAGCCTCACTCGACTCATGTCAGGGAAATCTGGCCATTAATTCCTCCTGCAGCATCAGTATCTATGTAAAAGGTGTAATGTTTTTGGTCTGGCTGATGTCGCTCAGTTGACCATCGACCTATCAACCAGGAGGTCATGGTTTGATTCCTGGTCAGGCACAAGCCCGGGTTGCAGGCTCACTCTCCAGGTAGGGGGTGTGCAGGAGGCAGACTATCAATGAATCTCTCATCATTGATGTTTCTATCTCTCTCTCTCTGAAATCAATAAAAACTTATTTTAAAAAGAAGATATATTTTAAATAGCAGAATGGTCTGCATACTTACTTGGAGAAAAAAAAAAAATCATGAGCACAAAAAGTTTTAGTGAGTAGCCCTGTATGACAAAGATGGAAAGCTAAACATTAATAATTTGTGTTTATCATTTCCAAAATGTAGTCAATGGGAAGCGGCCAGGAACTACAGTTCCCACAATGAATATGAACAGAAATGAGTTATTGACTTCCCAGCCAGGATTTGTTAGTTAATCCTCACCCAAGGATATTTCTCCATTGATTTTTAGAGAGAGTGGAAGAGAAGGGGAGAGATAAACATCAGTGTCAGAGGGACACATCAACTGGTTGCCTCCCATACATGCCCTGACCAGAGCACATGTCCTCCATGGACAAACTACTGTTCAGGGCTTATGAATGCCTAGCGTATTAAGCCACGGAAATTTTAGTGTTTTATTTGTTATCAGAGGTCCTGTGCGGTGGGGTCCCTCGGCCTGGCCTGCAGACACCCTGAGTGTTCTCAGATTGCTAGAGGGCACAGGCCAGGCTGAGGAATCACACCAGGCCAGGACAGCCAGGGCGGGGGCGGGGGGAGGCCCTATGGGGGACCAAGCCGGCTGGGGGGAGGGGCCATTCCCATCCCCTGGTCAAATTCCCAAACTCCCAGTTGAGGGGACAATTTGCATATTAGGCTTTTATTATATAAGATAGCAGCTCATTTCAGTCTAGTATTGACATGAAGCATCATCTAACTACCATGTTTCCCCGAAAATAAGACATCCTCCGAAAATAAGACCTAGCGCATGGAAAGATAAGACATCCCCTGAAAATAAGACCTAGCACAACTTTGGGAGAAAAAATTAATATAAGACACTGTCTTATTTTGGGGGAAACAAGGTAGTTAGTGACAGAGCTGAGACCAGAATATAAGCTTTCTGAGTTCTTATAGTATATAAAACTATCTTTAGATATATATACTTCTAAAGTACCTCTGTGGTACTTATACACTGTTTCCACTGACTGTTCTCAGAAAAATGTTAGTAATCCCCAGCAAAGCCTTATCTACACTTACCATTTACAATCATTTTCAAACAAGCAGAACATGGCTTTCTGGAAAAATAAAGATCACAGTTTTTCAGCCTTGACCCATGTTTTATAAGAGCAATTTTCCCAGCATGTAACTCTTCACTTGAACAGTGAAGATCAACAATTTTCATGTCTCTCACCACCACAAGACCAGTTTTCTTCACCTACATTAAAACACAAAACAATAATTTATTAGTTATAAATGCTAAAGATCATATCATGGATTATACTTTATTTATTAATAACATGAAAATTTATTTCATTCATTACCTGAACAGGTTAAACAAAAGCATATTTTCATTAGGTCCCCAAAAGTTTTTGAATATTTAATACTGACTTTAATACCAGAAATGTTTCAAATTTATGATTTCTTAAATCAATTTAGCATTTAATTCTCATTAATAAAGTCCTAATGAGAAATGAATAAATTTTGACCTATTGAAAGGCAAGAACCAAGTTAATTCGACTTTTTTTCTTATAGCATCTAGTCTAGGACTATTTTTAGTATTAAGCTTCTAAATGGTCATAAAAACAATTTAGAGAACTGATTTTACATATAAATAAGCAAATCCTGTAAAGTCATTTGCTGATTTGTTGATGGTAGCCATTTTGACAGCGGTAAGGTGATGTCTCATTGTCCTTTTAATTTGCATCTGATGATCAGTAACAGCATTTTTTCATTTGTCTCTTGGACAACATCATTTATTGAAGAGACTGTCTTTATTCCATTGTATGCTCTTGCCTTCTTTGTCCAATTTTTTAAATTATGTTTTAATTGACTTCAGAGAGAGGAAGGGATAGGGAGAGAGATAAAAACACTGAAGATGAGCAGAAACCGGTTTGGCTCAGTGGATAGAGCATCGGCCTGCGGACTGAAAGGTCCCAGGTTCAATTCTGGCCAAGGGCATGTCCCTTGTTTGTGGACACATCCCCAGGAGGGGGTGTGCAAGAGGCAGCTGATCAATATTTCTCTCTCATCAATGTTTCTAACTCTCTATCCCTCTCTCTTCCTCTCTAAAAAAATCAATAAAATATATGTATTTTTTAAATTGAAGATGAGAGAGAATCATAGAATGGCTGTCTCTGATATACCCTCTACTTGAGGACCGAGTCCATAACTCAGGCATGTGCCTTGACCGGCAATCAAACAGTGACCTCCTGGTTCATGGTTTGAAGATCAATCACTGAGCCACACTGGCCAGGCTCCTTTGTCAAATATTGAGAGTAATGGCTTGGGTTAATTTCTGGGGTCTCTGTTCCATGTGCCAGTACCAGGTTGTTTTGATTACAATGACTGCTGTTTAAATTTTATATCTGGTATTGTGATCCCTCCTACTTTGTTCTTTTTTCAAGATTGCTGTGGTTAGTCAGGGTCTTTTTTGGTTCCATATACATTGTTGGAGTATTTGTTCTGGTTCTGTGAAATATGTATTGGTATTTTAATAGGGATTGCATTGAATCTACAGATTCCCTTGGAGATAGGGACATTTTAGTCCTTCTGGATGCTGGCCGGGGACTTCCTTTGTTCTGCGCTGCCCCCTGGTGGTCACAGCGAGCAATAGAACTCCTGGTCTCTGGGTCGAACTCCTGAGGGGACACTTTGTATATTAGCCGCGCGCGCAAGCGCGTGCGTGCGTGCGTGCGTGCGTGCGTGTGTGATATGTCACATTTATTGATTTGTGAATATTATACCAGCCTTAACCCCCTTGGTCATAGTGGATAATCTTTTTAACATATTGTTGGATTACATTTGCTAATATTTTGTTGAGGATTTCTTATGTATATTCATGAGGAATATTAGCCTGTAATTTTTTTTCTTTGTAGAGGTCTTTATTTGGTTTTGGAATTAGGATAATGCTGGCTTCCTAAAAAGAGCTTGGGATTCTTTTCTCCTCTTCAATTGTTTGGGATAGTTTGAGGCGGATAACAGTTCTGTTTTGAATTTTTGGTAAAACTCCCTTTTGAAGCCCTCTAGTCCAGGACATTTGTTTGCTCAAAGTTTGTCTTTTTATTTCTGCTTCAATTTCATTAGTTGTTCTTAGTCTATAAAGATTTTCTTACTCTTCTTGAGTTTTGGAAGATTGTATGTTTCTAAGGATTTGTCCATTTTGCCCAGGTTGTTTAATTCATTGGCATGCAGTTGTTGGTAATATTTTCTTACAAATCGTTGAATTTCTGTGGTATCAGTTGTTACTTCACATCTTTCGTTTCTGATTTTACTTATTTTCGTTTCTGATTTTATTTATCCTCTCTCTGTTTCTTGATGAGTCTGGATAGTGGGTCAATCTTTATCATTTCCAAGAACCAGTCCTTGGTTTCATTGATCTTTTGTATTTTTTTTTTAAGTCTATGTCATTTAATTTCCCCTAAATTATTATATCATTCCGTCTACTAACTTGGAGCTTTTCTTCTTGTTCTTAATTCATTTATTTTTAGGGTTAGATAGTTTATTAGAGACTAGAGATTTTTCTTGTTCCTTGAGGTGGGCCCATTGTGCTATGAACTTTCTTCTCAGGGCTGCTTTTGTTGTGTCCCATAGATTTGGGGTTTTGTGTGTTTATTTTCTCTTTTTTAATATATTTTTATTGATTTTAGAGAGGAAGGAAATGGGAGAGAGAGAGATAGAAACATCAATGATGATAGAGAATCATTAATTGGCTACCTCCTTCATGCCCCCTACTGGGGAATTAAGCCCAAAACCCAGGTATGTGTCCTGATCGGGAACCGAACCCTGACTTCCTGATTCATAGGTCGACCACTGAGCCACACTAGTCGGGCTGTGAGTTCATTTTCATTTTCTCCCAGGAAGTTTTGATTTTCTTCTTTGATCTCAGTGGTAACCCATTCATTGTTTAATAACATGCTATTAGATTCCATGTGTTTGAAAATTTTTGAGTTTTTGTATTATAGTTTATTTCAAGCTTCATGCCATTGTGTTACAAGGAAATACTTCATATGAGTTCAATCTTTTTGAAATTGTAGAGACTAGCCTGTGGTCTATTTTCGAGAATGTCCCATGTGCACTTGAGTTAAATTCTGCAGCTTTGGGGTAAAATGTTCTGTAAATGTCAATTAAATCCATATGATCTAGTATGCTATTTAGAGTCACTATTTCCTTGATTTTTTTGTCAGGAAGATCTATCCAGTAAAGCCAGTGTGGTGTTGAAAACCCCTACTATGACTGCAGTCCTGTTGATCTCTCTGTTAAAGTTCTCCAAGACTTTATTTATATATTTAGAATCTCCTATATTGGGGTGCATGTACGTATACAAGGTTTATATCTTCTTGTTGGATTGATCCCTTTAGTATTAGGTAATAACCTTCCTTGTCTCTTGTTATGGCCTTCACTTTAAAGTCTACTTTGTCAGATATAAGTATTGCTACCCCCTTCCCTTTTTTTTCCTTCAATTTCTATTAGCATGGGAAGTTTTTTTCTATCCCTTCACTTTTATCCTGAGTCTTTTGTTCTGATGTGGGCCTCTTGTAGACAGCATGTATGTATGGGTCATATTTTCTTATCCATTCTGCTACCCTATGTCTTTTGATTGGAACATTTAATCCATTTACATTTAAGGTTATTATTGCTAGGTATTTATTTATTGCCATTTTTATTATATATGCCTATATTTCTCTATATATACATTACTTCTTAACATTACAGCAGTCCCTTTAACATTTCATTCAATGTTGGTTTGGTGGTAATAAACTACTTTAACTTTTTTGGGGGGGCCTGGGAAGCTTTTTATTTCACCATCTATTTTGAATGATAGACTTGCTGCATAGAGTACTCTTGGTTTCAGATTCTTGCTTTTCATTGTCTTGAATACTTCAGCTATTCCTTTCTGGCTTATAGAGCTTCTGTTGAGAAACCAGCTGACAGCCTTATGGGAGTTCCTTTGAAGGTAACAAATTGATTTTCTCCTGCTGCCTTTAAGATTCTTTTTGTCTTTAATTTTTTCCATTTTAATTATGACGTGTCTCTTTACAGTGTGGGTCTCTAGGTTATTCCTGCTTGAGACTCTCTATACTTCCTAAATTTGTGTGACTTTTTCCTTCACCAGGTTTTTCTGCCATTATTTCTTCAAACACTTTATCCATTCCTTGCTCACTTTCTTCTCCTTCTGGCACTCCTATTATGTAAATATTGTTACACTTCATGTTATCCCATAGCTCCCTTAAGTTGTCCTCCTGTTTTTTTGTTTTTATATTTTTATTGATTTCAGAGAGGGAGAAACATCGGTGATGAAAGAGAATCATTGATAGCTACTTCCTGCACACCCCCTACTGTGATCAAACCCACAACCCAGGTATGTGTCTTTGACTGGAATCAAACACAGGACCCTTCAGTCTGCAGGCCAATGCTCTATCCACTGAGCAAAACCAGCTAGGGCTCTCCTCCTGTTATTTAATTGTCTTTCTTTTTGATTCTCTGAGTGATTTTTTTCTACCCTGTCATCCAATTCACTGATCCAATCCTTGGCTTCCCCTAATCTGCTGTGTATTCCTTCCAATGTGTTCTTTTTCTTTTTAATTTTATTTATTAAGTTGACAGCAGTGACAATGGTCAACATGAACATATAGGCTTTATATGTGGGTTTCTATGCCAATGTGTTCTTTGTTAGTGCTGTCTTCATATATGACTGGTCTTTTTTCATAGTTACTCTGAAAATGCCTTCAACAGGGTAGGGCAACTGCCTTCCCCCAGGAATAACCACCTGCGTAGCAAAGACCCGTGGAGAAAGACTTCCTCTGCAGTGTGAGGAAATGACTCCACACATCAAGTGGAGTGGCTGCCTTCCGAGCTCCCACCCTAGAGCCCCAACCGTGGACTCTCACCGAGCTCCCGTCCACTCTGCTCTCCTCATTCAGAGCAAGGCGGGCGGCTGCACGTGAAATTTTGTGCACTGGCACTTTTACAGCGTGCCTGCATTTCCAGCCATCTCTGGCTACCAGAGAGCAGCAACCCTGCTGCTTTTCACAGCCAAATGTTCTGTGGGCACCTTTCTCAGGTCTGGCCTCTGGGCTGGGGAGTCCAGTTTGGGTTTTAGACCCCAGAATCTCAGTGGGAACCTCTCGCAGCTGAGATATCCCTCTGGACCTTAAGCTACTGTCTGTGGGAGCCCATCCAGCCCTTTTGCACCTCTGCACTTCCTACCAGTCTCTATGCAATTTCCACTTTCCGTCCTTGGTTATTAGGGTTCTCTCCAGCTAGTCTTCAGTTTATTTTTTCACGGTGGTTTTTCTCTATTTTAGTTATATTAACAGTTTGGTCCTAGGTGAATGTCAGTGTAGCTTCCACTTACACCACCACCATTTTTAATTCTCTCTGGTGTATTCTTTATTTCTACTATGTCATTCTTCATTTCTGACTGGTTGCTTTTCATAATTTTTATATTTTGTTTATGCTGTTGAGCATCCTTATAATCATTACTCTGAACTCTATATCTGATAGATTGTTTATATGCATTTCACTTAGTTCTTCTGGAGAATTCTCTTCTTTCATTTGGGAATTGTATCTTTGTCTCCCCATTTTGGCTGCCTGCTTGGGGTTGTTTCTATGTATTAGGTTAATCTGCTTTGACTCCCAATCTTGGTAGGGTGGCCTTATGTAGTAGGTGATCTGTATAAACCAACAGTGAAGTCTCCCTGATCACCGGACCTGAGTGCTCTACTGTCCCTTGTATGTGTTGTGTGGGATCTGTTATTTTACTTAAATCTTGATTGCTACTGTCTCATTCATGTGTGGCTGAGAGTGAGGCTCAATTTCCAACACAGCACATAGACTGCTGTGCAGGTACTTATCACATGAAACATAATTCACCTCAGCAGTGCTTGGAGCCTGCCAATATCTCCCTGTTGATATGCTGCTTATGAAACTTTTTAGATCCTGCTCTGTTGTCTGAAGCTGACCACTAGGTTTATTGGTTTTGGACCTCTTCATCAAAGAGTCTCTGGTACAGGCCAATGTCAGACACTGTTTGTGACTAGCCCTGAGTACCCTATTTGAAGCTATCAGCGATCCAAAGCTTGTGATTCCCTCTGCTGAGGCTGGGTGCATTTGAAAAGGGTCAAGATGCACACTAAGGTCTACTTTTGCTAGCCCCAAGTCCCAAAGCAGATCCAGCACAGATTCAAAGCACTCAGAGATCTGCCTCTGCCTACAGGTTGATTGTTAATCTCAGTCACTTAATGAACCTCACATTGCAGACCACAGGGTATGGTGAGGGCTTCCAATGGGTGAGGCAATTACTTCCCCCAGGCTGTAACTGCCTGGGTAGTAAAGTTCTGCATGAAAAAGATGGCCTCTGCAGTATGGGGGAATGACAGCACAGGGATCCAAGTGGCTGTCCTTTCAACTCCGTTCCGAGCCACCAATCCCAAGTTCTCCTCACACAGCTCTAGTCGACTGTCCTCTCTGCTGAAGTCCAAGGTAAGGGGCTGCACATAAAATTTTGTGCATTGGCCCTTTGAGGGTGCCTGCTTTTCCAGCCATCTCTCCCTGGTAGACAGAAGCCCCATTGCTTTTCACAGACAGATGTTATGTGGGACTTTTCCCAGTTCTGGTCCTCTGGGCTGGGGAGCCTGGTTGGGGGTTTAGACCGCAGACTTCTCAGGGGGAACTCCCCACAGCTGAGATATCCCTCCCGAACTCAACTGCTGGGAGCCCAGCCAGCCCTCTTGCACCTCCACAATTCCTACCAGTCTCGATGTGGCCTCCTCTTTACATCTTTGGTGATAAGGGTTCTCTTCAGCTAGGCTTCAGTTGGTTATTCAGAATGATTTTTTCTATACTTTAGTTGTAATTCCAGTTTGGTCCTGGAGAATGTCAGTGTAGCTTCCACTTAATCCACTGCCATCTTGGAATCCTCTATTTATCACTTTTTTGTCTTTTTACCTCAGGGAAAAAAAATATTTTTTTTTTCATTCTGTTTCTAGCTAAGGCCAAATATCAAGTTTGAGACAAAGATTTTTTTTCCATCCCAAACTTAAAACAAAGCAAATAAAAGGCTAAGTTGCATTCCATTTTGTCACTTTCACTTACTACAACTCTCAGAAACTCCCAAAAGACTAAATCTTTTGAGTGAATCACTATTCTGCCACTATTTTACTTCATCTCACTGACATCTTGGCAAGTCATCTATTAGCCCTAGTCACAGAGTTTTATATTAACACAGAGACAAAAGAGGACAGTTTGTTTTGTATATGAACTTAAGATGGTGAGTCACTATTTTTTACCTTTGCTTTTCTTATAATAAAATACATCTAAATATTCTGAGACAAATTATTTCTATACTTTGTTGGGAATTTTAGAAAATCCCAGGAATGTACATCAAAATCATCAAGATAAGTTTTTTTAAAAATATACTTTTCCCCCCCACGCCATATCTGATGAATCAGGATCTTTCTGAAAAAATGCAAAAGATTATTAACTAACAAGGAAAAACCATACAATCTTGTCAGGTCAGGGCTCTGATTTGACCTCTCCTGGAAGCCAGTAAGTTAGCCTGCTGTTCCATGGATACTGGCAGAGACATGAGCCTCAGACAAAAGATTGTATCATTCATAGCTAAGCAAGCAGCATGAGCATCATTTTGTGATGGTTTCCCCTGCTCATAAATCCCATGTGGGTGAGGCAGAACAGCCTAGATAGATTCCTGGACACAAAGTAGATTATGTTATAGGAGAGGAACACTGAACTTTGGGTTCTATTGTTTTATCCAGTCAGCAAGCAAACACACACTCTTGTACCAAGAGGGAGACATTACCTCAACCCTCAAGATTGCTTGTTACAAATGCAACTCCTAGAAATAACCGAAGTAAAGAGCAGTTTGGGCCTCGAATTCTTTAAGCCAGCAAGATGTTGGAATTTGAAAGAACCATGGAAGCGTCTCAACCCATGAACTAATATGAGTTAAAGGTGGAAATTTTTTTTAAAAAGGAAGATGTAGGAGCATACTGTAGAACAATGTTTTTTACAAAATAGACATGTATAATCCTGTAAATGCACAAAATGTTTTTAGAAGAGTATACAAGAAACTCCTTTGGAAGTGGGAATAGGGAATTTGAGTATAAGAGGAAGTTTTATTCTACTTTACACCATTCCTTTTGCTTTATTATGAACATATATATATGTATGTGTGTGTGTTTTGTTTAGAAATCATAAAAATTCACCTGTTTTTTGTCAGTAGATACTCTGATCATCTCTTCATTATCTCCTAAGTGTCCATGCTTTCCCTCTTCCTTTTCCTAATTAAAAGCAGATTGGGGGGGGGGGGAGGTTAATACATAAGATGTATGATTAATTCTATATCTTCTAATTAAAAGCCGTCTCCTTGGCTTTGGAACATTTTTTTTTTTAACTGATAAAACTCTGCATTGATTTCCTGCTTTGTTCAGGTTCATGTTCAGATTATGTAACCTAATACATTAGGCCTTTTTATTCTGGTCCCTGAATACTTTTCCAAAATATTGAAGAAGGGTAAATTGTAGTCAGAAAATAGAATTCTATAGTTAAAAATTTTAGAGTTGGGACAGTTTTGAGCAATGGAAAAGTCCAGAGTATGGCCATGGCTAAGCAGGACTGTAGGGGAATAGTGGAAAATTAACTGGATTTGGGAAGAAACTATGTAACAAAAGCATTAGATGTTGATTATGGTAGGCAGAATAATGATCACCCAAAGGCCCTCCTATCGCAATCCCTGAGCCTGTAGCAGTTAAGTTACCAAGGCAAGGTTGCAGATGGAATTAAGGCTGCTAATTAACCTGACATTGAGATAAGGAGATTATCCTGGATTATGTGGGTGGGCTTATGTTGGTAATAGCAAGGGTCCTTAGCAGCAAGAGGGAGGCCGGAAAATCAGTGTCAGAGTGGTCCAAGTAAGACTTAACCTGGCCGCCACTGGTTTTGAAAATGGAGGAAAGGGTCCATGATCCAAGGCATGTGGCAGTCTCTAAAAGCTGAAAAAGGAAAGGAAACGAATTCTTCCAGAGTTTCTAAAGAAGCACAGCGTGCCAACATTTTGATTTTAGCCCAGAGAGACTCATTTCCGACTTTTGACCCCCAGAAATTTAAGATAATAAATGTGTGTTGTTTTAAGCTACCAACTCTGTAGTAATTTGTTACAGAGCAACAGGACCCTAATGCAGAGATGTCCATAAGTCTCCTCTAAAAGTAAAATAGTAGAAAGTCTAGAGGCTTGGCTGGTGTAGCTCAGTGGTTGAGTGCCGACCTATGAACCAGAGGTCACTGTTCCCTTCCCGGTCATAGCATATGCCTGGTTGCAGGTTTGTTCCCCGGTGTGGGACATGAAGGAGATAGCCAATCAAGGATTCTCTCTCATCATTAATGCTTATATATTTCTCTCCCTCTCCATTCCTTTCGGAAAAAAAATATCTATCTATCTATCTATATATATATATATATATATATATATATATATATATATATATATGTGTGTGTGTGTGTGTGTGTGTGTGTGTGTGTGTGTATATATATGTGTATGTGTATATATATATAATATACACACATGCACATAAATATTGTGTGTGTGTGTGTGTGTGTGTATATATATATATATATTTATTTATTTATTTATTTATTATTATTTTTTTTTTTAAGAAAAGTTTTGAGCCAGGGACCAAACTCCTTTATTTATAAATCAATTCAACAAATATTTATTGAAGCCTTGCTTTGTGTCAGCCACAGACCTAGCTGCTCAGGACGCAGCCCTTACAGAGCTTACGATTTATAAATACAGGTGCTACTATGAAGTGAACAGGTAATTAAGCCAGTGTGATAAAGCAGAATTCTGTGAGCCCAAAGTAGGGGATATGTGTAATAAATTGGAGAAAGTCTGAAAGTTGGAATGACAAGCTTGGTAAATATAAACATCTTAGTCTATGAAACAAATGATGGATGCTAGAAAAGGAATGGCACCTAAGAAGTTTACAAGAAAAGCCATGTCCTGGCAATGGGGTTTGTGTTCCAACAGGACAGAAAGAGGAAGTGATGATATTGGTAGTGAAATGTGGGGTGTGTGGACGGTAGTAGTAGTGATGATTATATGAGTGATAATAATAAAAGTACCTAACATTTGCTGCATGTGTACCACATATCAAGTCCTATATCATCTCATTTAATCCTCACAACTTTACAAAGTAGCTATTATTGCTCCCATTTTACAAATGAAAAAATTGTGACTGATAGAGATTAAATAACTTGAACATAGTCACACAGCTAATAAATAGATAACCTAGGATCTGAGCCCCAAATCCATTCTCTTAATCATTATGCTACATTGATTCTGTTCTGGAAAAGTACAGTAAGACCATTAATAATGAAAATAAGATGGCAGAAGACAAAATGGCAAGAAATGGGAGAAAGGGACAATATGAATTATGCAGAGAGAAAAATGAGAACAATGCAGTTATTCTAATTCTTACACTAAAGTAATAATCAGGTAATTTAAAAACTCTAACTTAACTAAAATGAAAAACTAGGAGTGAAAAGGAGAAAGAATTATTTTTAAATGATAACCATTTTCCACAGTGCTTGATTTCTATTCCAAACTTTTGTGTCTTCCCCTCCCCATCCCCCAGAAGTCTCATAAATAATATTGTACTTTCTCTCCCATTCATTTATCTAGTTTTGACTGGATTTCTTTTTTCTTTTTTTTAATCCTCACTGGAGATGTTTTTTATTGATCTGAGAGAAAGGAACATCGATCGGTTGCCTCCCATACATGCCCTGACCAAGGATCAAACCACAACCTTTTGGTGTTCAGGACAACGCTCGAACCAACTGAGCCACTGGCTAGTGCTGAACTGGATTCTTAAAATTATTAATTTTCATACTTGAAATATTCCTCACAGGAAATCCCCAAGAAGCAACCATACAATATATATATTTGACAACCTAGAAAATCTCGATATCAGCTATACTGTAGTATATCTGATATCAGCGGGGGGTATGTTCCAAGAGCCCCAGTGGATGCCTGAGCCCACAGATAGTACTGAACCCAATATCTACTATGTTCTTTCCTAAACATACATACCTATGATAAAGTTTAATTTATAAATTGGGCAAAATAAGAGATTAATGACAAAGTAAAATAGAAAAATTATAACTATATACTATAATAAAAATTATGTGAATATAGCATTAAGTAAAATAAGGGTTATTTGAACACAAGCACTGAGCTACTGTGATAATTGATCTAATAACTGAGATGGCTAAGTGGCTAACAGGCAGGTACATGCAGACAATGGAATCTTATTCAGAGCTAAAAAGAAGTGAGCTATAAAGTCATGAAAGGGCATGAAGAAATCTAAAATACAAATTGCTAAGTCAGCAATTTTCAACAATTTTTGTCTCGTGGCACACATAAACTAATTACTAAAATTCTGCAGCACACCAAAAAATATACTATCTTTTCTGCAGCTATAACAAAAAGAAAAGTATAATTTTTATTTAGTCACACCAATCAGCAATTATTGTATTGGCTGTTGTCATTTTTTAAAATGTTTTTATTGATTTGAGAGAGAAAGGAAGGGGGAGGGAGAGAAACATCGATGATAGAAATATCGATAGGCTGCCTCCTGCATGCCCACCAGGGATAGAGCCCACAACCTGTGCATAAACACTGATTGGGAATCGAACCAGCGACCTTTTGATGTATGAGACAACATTCAATTGAGCCATACTGGCCAGGCTATTGTCATTTTTTAATTTGACAACTCAAGGCAAAAGAGGTCAGTGCCCTTGACTGAATAGTCAGATATTTCATGTTTTAAAAATTCTTCAGCACACCAGTTGAAAATCACTGTGCTAAGTGAAGAAGAAGGATGTCTGAAAATTTCCATACCTGGTAGCATTCACCTACTACATATGGTGTGATTCACAACTACATGATATTCTGAGACAGACAAAACTATGGAGACAGTAACAAAAAACATCAGGGGTAACGGGTTGGAGAGGAATAAATAAGTGGAGCATAGAGCATTTGTAGGCCAATGAAAGTACTCTGTATGATACCATACTGATGGGTCAATGTCATTATATATGTGTCCAAACCCATAGAATATACAAGAGTGAACCTTAATGTAAACTATAGAGTTTGAGTAATCATGATGTGTCAATGGTAGTTCATCAACTGTAACAAATGTTGGGGGGATGTGGATAATGGGGGAGGCTACCCATGTGCAGGAGCATATGGAAAATCTTATGTACTTTCCCCTCAATTTTGCTATGAACCTAACAGTGTTCTCTAACAATAAAGTCTTAATTTAAAAATAGTAAATCCCCACCCAGTTGGTGTGACTCAGTGGTTGAGCATTAACCCATGCACCAGGTCACTGCTTCAGTTCCCAGTCAGGGCACATGCCCGGGTTTGTAGGCTTGCACCCCAGCAGGGCATGCAGGAGGCAGCTGATTGATGTTGATGTTTCTCTTTCATTGATGTTTCTCTCTGTCTCCCTCTCCCCCTCCTTTCTCTCTATAATCAATAAAAAAACATTACTTTTAAAAATAGTAAATTCCCCCTGTTAAAATTCAATTCAATCCCATTATTTATAGGATAAAATCTGAACTCCCTTGCAAGGTATACAAATGTTTTTTTTATGATGCGATTCCCATATACCTTTCCAAGCTCATCTTCAGTATCTTCCCTCCAAGACAGCATAGGGACTTGGGCTGGGACTAGAGAATACCAGTGCCCAGGAAGCCAAGTTCAGTTAGTCAGAAAAAAACTTGGGGTAAGCTAACCCCAAAAATGTCACCACTCCTCCACTCCCTTCTAAAAAATGCAGAGGTAGCTGGTTTTATCTCCCTTCTTACTACATGCTTAAATTACTGATCTGCATGCACAGTTGATCAAGGTTTGACCACTATACGACTTCCCCAAGGTGGTGGTAATGAGCAGAATACCATCCTGCCCCAGAGGGCAGGCATGGACATAGTTATCAGGAAGACAGCTGGAAAAGGAAGACACCTAAGCCCTAAAATGGGGAATTCCAAAAGCCTACCTTTTTCCAAAAGCCCACCTTTTCACACAAGCCTGCTTTGTCCCCGCTTATAAAAGGAGCCAAGCAGAGCTCCCCCACACCAAAGCCCAGTCAGTTCAGAGGACCTTCCTTTCCTCTGTGTGGTCTCCCCTGCCCTTAAGCATAAGTTTCATCTAATCTGTCTGGAAATTTCCTTTTGCTTTCTAGCTTGGGGAACCCAAGAACCCCAATGCTGATAAGAACTCCACCCAACTTCGCCTTCTGACAGGCATGTGAACCACAAATTCTCACTCCTCCAAGCTTGTCCATTTGGAGTCTCTTGGCTTGGCAAATGTACAGGAGACTCATCCATGACATGTCTGCTGTCTGCCCTGCTGGCTGGATCTAGGCCAGAACAGGGCTCTGAAATCCCCCTTAGAGACTGCCTGATGGTAACCCATGTTCATTCTGACATAAGCATCCCTCCCCTGCCTTCTGCTCCGGGCTGGTCTGGAACAGGTTGTTGTCCTGACCAAACATGTAATTTCCATACCCGGTAGCATTCACCTACTTGTACCCATGACTATCACCCCTTTACCTCATATAGTTCTCTGGCACCTGCCAAGGAAAGTAGCGAGGGGATCCATTTTGTGGTGCAGTCACCTCAGACACACCTTGTATGTAAGTTTCCCTCAATAAACTCTACTAGTTACCAGACTGGACTGACCGGCCTCTTTCTTCAGTCTTTCCCTGCTCTCCACTTCCAGAGGTAGCTTTTCAGTCTCAGGTTTTCATTAGGTCTACATGTATGAACAGTAAAACCCCACTTACTCTTCATGTCTCAGTACAAATGCAGCCTGCCTGTGAATCCTTCCCGCACGTCCCTATTTAGAGCCCGCCCCCTCTTCTGTCTTGGTAGCATGTCTGCTGGCATTTTGTACTTGACTCCACCACCTAATTGTACGTTAACTGTTTAAATCCCTAGTATTTGTCCCCATTAGAAAGTAAGGATTATGTTCCATTCTTTCTGTATCTCCAGAGACAAATACACAACTTCATCCACAGTAAAAAAGAAAAAAAAAAGAAAAAAAGCCTGGCCAGTGTGGCTCAGTGGTTGAGTGTCAACCTATGAACCAAGCAATCACAGTTCAATTCCTGGTCAGGGAACATGCCTGGGTTGTGGGCTCTATCCCAAGTCAGGGCAGGAGTCAGCCGATCAACAATACTCCCTCGTCACTGATGTTTTATCTCCCTCTCCCTTCCTCTCTGAAATAAATTTTAAAAATTTTCAAAAGAAAAAGAAGTTGGATATGAATGACCTCATAAGAATTTAAGGATTTGCAAGTCTTTCTGTGGAAAACCTGAAACAACCTTTTAGCAGAATTATTGGCAAGTTGGAAACTTCAATAAGCATATGCAGAATACAATAATAATTTTATAAGGGGGGGAACCTTATGCTTAAAAAAAGGACTGAAGGAAAGCACCAAAATGTTAAAACTAATGTGGTTAGAATTGTGAGAAACCACAGGTAATCTCCCCCCTTTCCTCTGCTTCCAGAAATGTTTTAAATACTTAACTTAACCTATACTACTTCCAAGACTGAGGCTCCTTAAAGATTAGTAACAACATTCTAAACTTCCAAACCCACCAAACCAAAATGGTGAGAACCATGCAACTCCATTCACAGAGGAAACTGATGAGAACATAGCACTCTGCCATACTCGGGGTAGGAGAAAGAAAAGATGGAGGCTGTATATACTTCTAACACATTGGTTTATATGATTACTAGAGGCCCAGTGCACAAATTTGTGCACGGGCGGGATTCCTCAGCCTGACTGGCAATCGGAGCCAATAGAGGGAGTGCCTGATTGGCCAGGGGGAGGGATTGCAGGAGGATGGCTGGCTGCAAGAGGTTGGCTGTGGGAGTGCACTGACCACCAGGGAGCAGCTCCTGCTATGAGCATCTGCCCCCTGGTGGCCAGTGCACATCATAGCAACCAGTCACTTAGGCTTTTATATATACTGTATAGACTAGTGGTCTGGTGCATGAAATTCGTGCACAGGGCTGAGGGGATTTCCTCTCAGTCCAACCTGCACCCTCTCCAATTGAGGACCCCTGGAGTGGATGTCTGACTGCCATATTAGGCCTAAACCAGCAATCAGACATCCCTCTCACAATTTGGGACCGCTGGCTTCTAACCACTCACCTACCTGCCTGCTTGATTGCCTCTAATTGCCTCTGCCTGGTCGCCCCTAATCTCTCTACCTGCCTGCACGCCCCCAACTGCCCTCTCCTGCCAGCCTGATCTTGCCCCCAACTGCCCTCCTCTGCTAGCCTAATCACCTCTAACTGCCTCTGCCTCAGCCCCCACCAGCATGGCTTTGTCCGGAAGGAAGCTGAATGTTTAGAAGATGGCTGGTCGATCCAGTCTGATTAGCATATTACCCTTCATACTAACGTATGTATTACCCTTCATACTAATTAGTATGTATTATACTAATACATACTATACTATGTATTAATATAGATAGAGTATATAGGATAGGATTGCTTAAATGGGGGGAGGAGCTTTTTCAGCAGGAGGAGATGCTCTTGGTAGACAAAAATACATAATCCCTATATTTGGCCTGATAGCCAGCCATATACACTATACTGCCAAACCAATCATTAAAAAATTGAACTGCTTTCTCACACCTTACATTAAACAGCTGTTGCCCTTAAAACCCCTCCTCAGCCCCCACCTTAAATTCTGCCCTTGCAGTTCACCCAGATTAGGTTCTGATTGATTGGTTTCTATGCCAGTCAGGGTCAAAAGCTCTGCCTCCTAGGCAGCAATTGGCTCTTCACAGTTCACCTAGATTTGGTTCCAACTGATTGGTTTCTATGCCAGTCAGCATCTCCGGACCTATCTCCAGGCCTGATCAGAGAGTCAAGGGCTGATCAACAGCAGCCATGAGGCTACAGATCAGACCTTGGTTCTCTCTCCAGGCCTCTCTCAGGGCCCTGATCCTTAGCCCCCTCGGCAGTCCGTCCAGCCTTCGGTCATTTTGGACGACACAGACCTTGGGTTTTTATATATTGGGATTCTTACAATATATTCCTAACCTGTTTTGATCATCACTTTGGAGATCCAAAATAAGAGACTACTTAAATGGGACAAATGCTCATCAATTACCTTTTACAACAGTAGATGCTTAGGGTTATACCAGGTAAAATAAGGCATGATCTCTATCTTCAAGTAATTTACCATTTGGTGGGAGAGGGGAGCTACCCAGATGAAATGGGAACAGTATACAATTGAGTGATGAATTATGTGGTATAGACAATAACTGGCCAAATCAACAAATACCATTAATACCTGATAAGCATGGCATAGTCAGAAACAGTAATTGTTCTATTTTTAGATTGGAAAGATGAGCTGTTAGTTACAAGTTACAAATGTCACACTAAATCATAAAGATATTTTTCAAATTGTAACGTTTTGTTTGTTTTTTTTAGTTTGTTTTTAAGTGTGACAGAAACTGGAGCATATCAAATTTGAGATCCTGGCTTTTCTAAATGGTTGGAATTATCTAAGGAAAAAAATATACCTGAGATTTTTGTCTTTGGCCTTCGACTGCTGGGAAGAGCTCCATCCAGAGACTGAGCAGGGTGAAAAGGTTGACTTTAGAAAGCCTTGGTATTTGACCTACAAAAGAGAGGGCAGGCACTTTAAAAATGTTGCTGATGAAAATATGAACTAAGCTCCATGCCACTCAGGGGTTTGGGATGGGCATGGGGGGACAAGAGGACAAGAGAATCAAAGTGGTTTCTTAGCAGGAAACCGACCACCATCTCACTTGAGGTGACCTCCGCAGCCCTTTCCACAGCCGGAGCCTCTTTCTCCACCCTCACACGGCTGGGGGCAGGGTGCTAGCGATGGGCACACCCCAGAAGGAGCTATGAAAAGCCCTAGCATCTGATGTCATCGCGGAGCGAGCTTTTCTTTGGACTGTGGTGTTGCAGCAAGGGCAGTGGCTACAACCTGGTACCGAAAATGCGGTGATCTTTGAGGGAAAAGCAGTTGAAATGTAGGAAAGTGCGACGTGTGGTTAATTTGGAAATCAAGTCAAAAGCACGGCTTTCAGGCTCCTCATTCCCATGGTCCCGACGGTCCTGGGTGCGGGGCGGAACAGTGACAGGGGGAGGAACATAACGGGGAGAGGGAGGGAGGGATGGAGGGAGGTGAGCGCGGGACTTCCAAGGCCGAGGCAGACAGGCCGGGGAGCCCGCCGCCGGGGCAGGGGCGGCCCCGGGGCGGGAGGCGGCCAGGGGCGGAGGGAGAGGCGGCGGGGGCCTGGCCGCGGGGCGGCGCGGGCCGCACTCACCGGTCATGCTGTCGGTCTGGGTGCTGACGGACCGCCCGGCGCCCGTGCCCTCCAGGTTTTGCATCTGCCCCGCTGCCCTCGCCCCGGCCCCGGGGGCCCCCGCGGTTAGGCATGGCCCCGGTGCCACATCCTCCGCCGCCGCAGCTCCCGGACTCCCGCTCGCAGCGGCCCGATGACGTATGGGCCACGGCCCCTCCGGGCGCTTCTGTGACGTCAGAGCAAGGCGGGGACGCCGTGGCGCCGGCTGCCCCTCCAGCGCCCACCGGGTGGGTGGGAAGCACGGAGCAGTAACCGGTTTGAGGCCGGCCTTTTTTTTTTAATTTTTATTTTTATTGATTGTGGTCTCACATAATTGTCCTGATCCCCCCCATTCCCATCCGAAACCCCTCCCTACATATGCCCCCCGCCCCCCTGTTGTCTATGGCCACTGGCCAGGCCCATATGCATGCATACAAGTCCTTTGGTTGATCTCTTCTCCTTACTCCCACCCTCCCCTACTTCCCCTCTGAGGTTTGAGAGTCTGATTGCTGCTTCTCTTTCTCTGGGTCTGTTTTTGTTCATCAGTTTATGGTGGTCATTTTTTCCTCTAGATGTGTGAGACCATGTGACCTAAGAAATACCCTTGTAAGAACCTAAACTGAGATAAGCCATAATGGTTATGCTGAGAAGCAAATGAATCAGTCTGTAGTGAGTTCCTTTCTGGGCCAACAGTTCTTTTGAGTCCCATTTCAATGTCAAACAGTTCCTTATGTGTACATGTCAGCCATGATATTTCAGATTGAGTTGGTGGACAAACGGTGGTGATGCAGGTCCGACCATCTCTGGTTTGGTCCTGGGCTTCCTTCAGCAACCCGCAGCTGCTGTCTGCTGGTATGCTGAGGCATCCTCAGCATCTTCCATCTCTGAATTACGTCTCTTCTGTCTTCATGGCTGGAGCACTTCTATTCCTCTCCGTTACAGGATTCCAGATGGTCTCGAAGTTGTTTTCCGAAAATATACAAACATATTCTCGACCAAAAGTTAATAAAGGGATATTTTCTTTTAAATTTGACTTGGGATCCTTTTTCATTTTTTCCCCCCAAATAATTTTCCTCTGGCTTGTTTTGACACCATGTGTGTATTTTCATGGGTATCTTGCTGTTAGCATTTCGAATGAAGGTTAATTTTCTAAAGTACAAATTTTTTATATGCAAATTATTCTCAGGATATTTTTCCACTGTCACCCCCTTTTTTTAATTTAAATAACAGGAGACTTTTGGAAATTTTATAATGTTGTCTTGATAGCTTTTACATTTTAATTATTTGCGCTACACTATGACTGCTTTAGGTTCATAACGTGCAATTTTACCATGAGACGCTCTTGAGGCCAGCTTTTGGCTGCCCTCTGTGTTTGGCTGTCTGGGTGGGTTTTGCCAGAGGAAGGTTGCTTGAGGATGTCTTGGTTTGGAGCCACAAGTTGGAGTCTGCGTCATGAGCCAAGCTCAGGTTTGAGATCTGGGATCAGAGAGGTGATAGAAATGGAAACTTGCCATTGGGGGTGGAGGTGGGGAGTGGGAGGTGGGGGTGAGAGGTCGCAAGAGGAGGGGAGGCTCAGTGGTTGAACATCAGAACCTATGAACCAGGATGTCTAGGTTGGATTCCCAGTCGGGGCACATGCCCGGATTGCAGGCTGCATCCCCAGTGTGGGGGGTGCAGAAGGCAGCCAAGCAATGATTCTCTCTCCTCAATGATGTTTTTCTCTCTCCTTCCTGTCTGAAATCAATAAAAACACATTTTTTTTAATGGAAACATACTCTGCTCCATCTGTTATGGTCGAAGTCTTAGAGAATCACCAAAGTGAAAGGGGTGGGAGCTGGGGGTCCAGATAGTTAGTTGTTAACATCAAAGATTGGCTGGTGCCAAGACCACCATTGGGATGTTCTGCTTTGTGGACCTTGAAAAAGAAGATACCTACGGAGAAGGGCTTCTCGTGACCAACTGGGCTTAAATTTGAAAGCAGAGCCTAGCAGCCGTTTCCCAACAGGGCTTATGGGGGGAAGCTTGCACTGAACTGCCTTCCTACACTGTGTTCCTACCAACAGAACCAGCCCTTACAAAGGAGTTCCTGGAATTGTATTTCAACCAATAGAACTAAGACGTTCCCCATCCAATCAGTGTTCTGCAGCTATATCCATTAGCATTTTCACTGACCAATCAAGACACTGCTGTTTGGGGATAATCAAACTATGCTGATTTGAAGCCCTTATTTGCCATCAGGGACCTGGGGCAGGGACTTGTGTCTATGTAAGTCAGCTTCCCTCTGGCTGAGAGTGCACTTTCTTTTTCCACGGAAGATTGAAGACTGGTTTGTTTTTGTTTTCAGCTGGAGCTGAAACATCTTGCCACTTCATAATTGAGCTTTAATGCTATTAACCTGTTCCACAGCACAGCTGTTTGCATTGCATAAAGTTACCTTCAACATACCTCGAATTGGAGATTCCTGTTGACATTCAATCAGCATCAATGACCACTATGTCGACAGCTTCTTATCAAACACAGGAAGACATCAAGAGATGGAACTATGATTATGAAGAAGGTGAGGGTAGGTGGTAGCAAGTGGTCCCTGGAAAATCTAAGCAGTACCTGACGTTGTAAATTTGTGCCCTGAGTGTTTTATAAGTGTCCTGGGCGCTCCTCGTGACTCATTCTGTTATCACAACTTGAAATACTGACAAATAACATGGCATTACCACTGGTTTTTGAAAGCAAAAGCTGAATGCTATTAAAGTACTTTGTAAAGGACTGAAGTGAGACTCTTCAGTGCTGAGGGGTATGGCTGTGGTTCATTAATTTTTACTACTGTAGAGTACCACAATTTATCCCTATTTGAGCTGTTGACGAAAACAGCTAACCTGCCTAGCTCAGGGAAGGCATGTGTGGCGATCTTGCAAACTCAGAGACCTAAAGTAACCGCAAAGGATGGCCTGAAATGAAAAATTTTAATTAAAAAATCAGTTTATGGTAGTTAGTCATGTCCTAGGCCTGTATCTTCCCTGACAAAGGTCAATCTTTACCTTAACTGAGCCTATTGTCTTTTTGCATATGTAATAACATGTTTTTGAAAGTCAAAGTAATTTTTCTTTGATTGAATCAGCATCAATTACAATGAACACTAGAGGCCAAAGAACAGAAGGCCTCAAGTGTTCTTATAAAGCAGTTTCTTTAGAGACTAAACTTATGAGTAGAATTTTTGTGTTGCTACTATCAATTTATGAAATAAAGCTGAAAAGTTTTTCAAAGAGATTAGACCAATTTACATAGCTCTATGTCCCCATGATTTAATTCCTGGTCAGGGCACATGCCTGGGTTGTGGGCTCCATCCCCAGTGTAGGGTGTGCAGGAGTCAGCCGATCCATGATTCTCTCTCATCATTGATGTTTCTATTTCTCTCTCCCTCTTCCTTCCTCTCTGAAATCAATAAAAAAATTTTTTTCAAAATAGGCAAATGTCTTGAATAGTTACATCATAAAAGAAGTTATACAAATGACAATTGATCACATAAAAGAAGGTTCAGGTTCACCATCATTAGCCATTCAGGAAATGCAAATTAAAACCATGATGAGATACCACTGCATACCTATTAGAATGGTGAAATAAAAAGTACTGATAGAACCAAATAATGGCAAGAATGCAGGGCAGCTGAATCTCTCATATATTGTGGATAGAAATATAAAATGGTATAGCCACTCTGGAAAAACAGTTTGACAGTCTCTTTTAAAGTTACACAAATGATTATCATATCACCCAGCAATCACATTCCTGGGTATTCATTTTAGAAGAATGAAAACTTATGTTCACATAAAACTCTATACATAAATGTTTATAGAAGTTTTATTTGTAATTAAAAAAACAAAACTGGAAACAAGCCAAGTAAGCAGCAATAAGTAAATAATAAACAAACTAAAGAATATCTGAAATTAAATATTACTTAGCAATAAAAAGGAAGGAACTCCCCTGTCTAGGTGGCTCGGTTGGTTGGAGCATTGTCCCATATACTGAAAGGTTGCAGGTTTGATTCCCAGTCCAGGCTCATACAGGAGGCAATTAATCAATGTTTCTCTCCCAATATCTCTCTCTCTCTCTCTCTCTCTCTCTCTCTCTCTCTCTCTGAAACTAATTGACACATATCCTTGGGTGAGGATTAAAAAAAAAAAAAAAAGAAAAACTACTGATTCATTTTGAATGAATGTCCAGAGCATTATGCTAAGTTGAAAGAGC